TGTTCAGGGAGCAGGGGGCGTGTCGTATCAGGGAGGTCCTGTGCCCAGGGTCCGATGACGTCACAGGTCTGAAACTGGTCTCTGGTCTGAGACTGGTCTGGTCTCTGCTTAAGCAAACAATGCCCCCACCCGTGCGGCGCCTGTGTAAACGCAGCTGCTGCGGGAGGGGGCTGCGGGGGATCCATAGGTCAAATTTGCCACACATGTGTTTATTCTGGGAGTCAATAATTGTCTGGCTTTTGTAAGCTGGTCCTCCTTTATGATTCTCGTACTATCTTGTCCTTGGGGTTTTTCCTGAGTGCACAGAGGTCTTTCTGGCTATGATGTTCAAATGGTCAAATATTAAAATATACAACAAAACCAAGATGGAATGAAGGATCGGTTCTTTAGGGAGAAAACAAACCCATGGATTCAATATTAATGCTACAGAGAGGAATCAGACTGATAGATATGGTTTTAATTGAGTATATTTGTAAATCCCACTCTACCAGCCTCCTGTTAAAGACTGGCAATGTATTTACATTTACTGTTAATATGACATGTTCATGTGTGTGTTTGTAAAGGCATCGTACTTCTGCCCCTCCTCAGAGTATCTGTTTCTACTCTACTACTGTGTATTTATATTAATTAATTTGACTGGGACAGTACATGTATATGAACATATATGTCGACATGTCTGATTGTAGCAAAAGGCTCATTTTAATCCCAGAAGAACCGGGTCTGTTTAAATTAATGATTATTTTGTGTGAATTTCTTTTCCAGAGGCAGCTGTCTTTCAGAGGCCATCATTTCTTCATCCATTTCCATCACCTCCAGCTTCTGTGGATTACGATATAAACTACAACGACCAATATGTTCATTTGTTTTATTAATTACAAGTCATGGATAGTTAGAACACATCTCTCATTTTCTGAAGACATATACAGCAGCAGCAGCAGCAGCAGTAACAGCAGGTGCCTGGACGTCTGCCTCTGACAGTCTTTTTTACGCTGTACTCATCACAACCTGGAATAAAATAAAATAATTATGATTTAGTTCTTTGTGTGCAATGAAAAGTGATGTATGCGTTTTTTTATCCAACCACACAATCCGTGAGAAACATGTTTCATAGCTTGTATTTAAGTAATACTTCTAATCTTAAATAAATTTAAGCCATTAACTCTGATATGATCAGGTCTGTTGGATTTCAAGAGGAAAGGAGCTTGTGCTCAAAAAGTAAGTACTCATGACCTTAAATCTGGTCCGTAAGTTCAAGTCCACGCGTCTTCTGTGTCCAGCTTCATGTTCACAGATGTCCCCCTGCACATAATCACGTTTGTACTTAATACAAATTACTTTACAACAAAGTGATGCACAAACGAGGGCCATAGCAAATCCATCAATCGCACTAAACACATGCATTATTTACATGAAATATCACATTTTTAAGACTAATGATTACTCTTAAAACAATTGTTATAACATAGAAAGTATGATACAAAAGCCGCCTTTTTGGGTTTTCATAATTACTTCCACAGTTAAGACTGTTAGCATAAGGGAGCTCTCAAAATGACTCCCAGCGCGTGACGCTCCTTTCTGGGCATCAGCGCAGCTCTGCACCCGTGGTTAGCGTGTTAGCACTGGAGCTCAAGGCTGGAGAAAAAGTCCAAAGAAAATCTGTTTAATCACCAAACAGACCTCTGATATAACAACAGAAGGGTATTTCCCACCTCCAATGTTAATACAATTAAATGTTATGTCCTAATTAAAACGTAAATTCAACATTTACCTTTACCTCATCATGGCCGCTCCTCTCTCCGCTCCGTGATCCACGCTACAGCGGGACGCTCACGTACAACAGCACGACCTGATAATAGTGTGCAACGTCCGAATCACCATCAGAATGAGTCCACTCACTCAGTCACTATATAGTCCCGCACTATGTAGTGACTGAGTGAATAGGGTATAGTGTGGACATTCGGATAAAGCCAAAGTCGTGTTCTGGCCCTGGCTACATCTATGGAGGATTGGCTGATCGATTGCTTCTGTCTTGATTTACCCGGAAATAAAGCATGACATTTCAAGCAGCGACACTGAATTTTTTTCAACATTGAATTTTTGGACACTGAATTTTAAAACATTGAATATTTTGACACTGAATTTTAAAACATTGAATTTATTTACAGTGAATACTTTTTTGTTACAGTTTATAGAATTCAAAAGCAAAAGAAAGTGTTGATAATAAAAACACAAAATAACCTTCATATGAAAAGTTCTGAGTAGAGTCTTAGCGGGACGCTCGTTCTCCTCCACTCACAGAACGAGCAGTGACCAGCCTGCGTCCTCCAGCCTCTACAGCGCTGCTAAACACCAGGGCTTCGGCCTTGAAATTCGAATATAATTCTAAAATAAATAAAAAATATATATATTTGAACACATATTAGACAGCCCTTACAATTCGAAATGTATTCAATAACTGCAAATAAAATAGTTAGCTCCCAAATGTTATGTATGTATATGTTTACTGTATTGTCCGATCAACGTTTAATGGTGTTGATTGATAGATATGTATTTGTTTATTGAGCGTGGCTAGCTCCGCTAGCTTCTCTCGTTGTACTTGCGGAGTAATGTTAGTATTTTACACACCTGAATTACAAACAGAGATTGCATTGTCAAAGGGCAGCGGTCATTATTGATTTGAGAGTTCTGTTATCAAGAAAAACTGATCGGTAGAATTACATTCAAGTCAATGGAGTGTTCTACTGCTGCTGTGAGGAGCTGTATAATAAATTACAATTAAATATTCTAATATATTCGAATGTTTTAATGAATAAATTCGGATGCGAAACTAGCAGTATTCTTTTACCTATATATTGTGTTAGCAGTGCGTTGCTTTAGTACCATTTAATCAGTGATTGTTGTACAGTTTACAAGAAGTTGTGCTAATGCTAATGTTAGCATACATGTCAGATCCCAAATAAAACTAGATGGCTCTGTGGGATGAGAGCGTAGGGGAAATGAGAAGCCATTGCGCGAGTTGGGGGTGGTGCTAAACATTCAAACCTTGCAGAAACGGGTATAGCTCCTTTAACGTAAGCGTTGACTGCGCACTTATGCAGTCAACGCTTGTAGGTCCGCTGGCTTTTGAAGCTGTCCCTGTGTAGTCTATGGAGAAGTGTAGAGGACAGTACGGGCCAGAGGACTGATGTAGAGCAACAGCGATCAGAATCAGAATCAGACTTTATCAATGAAAAAAAAAAAACAATGTCCAGGATCAGTGTAAAACCTGCTGCTCCTGTGTGCGTGTGTGGATGCGAGCCAAGAGGCAAGGACCGCTAGAATCATGTTTCACATGTGTTTTGACCGGGAGACACGTTGCTGCGCGCATAAAATTAGAAAGCTATCCTATATTAGGCGCAGCCTCGCGTCATACGTCCGTATCTCACTGGTAGTGTAAATATCCCCATCGGTTTACATGTAAAAATGTTATGCGTGTCTGCTGCGTGTATAATGCGTACATGCTGTAACCCCTCCTGTGTAAATTAGCAGTCAGAGCCACAGGAAGCAGAGACCTGAGACCAGGACTCTTGTGATGGTACTTCCTGGTTTTAGGACTAATGTGATGGTACTTCCTGGTTCCAGTCAGGACTAATGTGATGGTACTTCTTGGTTCCAGTCAGGACTAATGTGATGGTACTTCCTGGTTCCGGTCAGGACTAATGTGATGGTACTTCCTGGTTTTAGGACTAATGTGATGGTACTTCCTGGTTCCAGTCAGGATTAATGTGATGGTACTTCCTGGTTCCAGTCAGGACTAATGTGATGGTACTTCCTGGTTCCAGTTAGGACTAATGTGATGGTACTTCCTGGTTCCAGTCAGGACTAATGTGATGGTACTTCCTGGTTCCAGTCAGGACTAATGTGATGGTACTTCCTGGTTCCAGTCAGGGCTGGAACTAAACCTTTTAGTTTAAAGAGACAATAATGATTTGCCGGAGCAGGCTTCTCCGTGGGCCTGATTTGGCTTGTGAGCCACAGGTTGAACAGACCCAGAGAGAGAACATCAAACTTCAGACTCTGAGCAGAAGCACCGCGGCTCACAGCAGCAGCCGACATCGATCCCACGGGACACAGGCCTCAAATCTCCACAGGTCGTGACGCGCTCCGGTGCATTCTGGGAGCGTGGCGAGCCTTGGAGCGGCGCCACGGCTCCGGAGAAGGCGGTGGATAAAGCTGGATCCTTCTGGAGGCGGAGTGGGAGGCGGACAACATCCAAAGCATTAGATAAGAATCAGAAAACAGCAGAACACGGATCAGACACATCGGCCGCAGTCAAAGAAGTTCATTAGTTTCAGTTTGAGGAATATTATGTTTGAAAAGGACCGTGATTAAAGCTGAGGTGTGTAACTTTAAGACAAATGGTTCAAGTCAACGTCACTTTCAATACAGTTTACTTCTATCATTGGATTTCAATGGTCTCTCTCTCTGGTCTCTCTCTCTGGTCTCTCTCTCTGGTCTTTCTCTGGTCTCTCTGTGGCCTATCTTTGGTCTCTCTGGTCTCTCTCTCGTCTCTTGCTGGTCTCTTTCTGGTCTCTCTTTGTGGTCTCTCTCTGGTCTCTCTCTGGTCTCTCTCTGGTCTCTCGCTGGTCTTTCTCTGGTCTCTCTGTGGTCTCTCTCTAGTCTCTCTCTGGTCCTCTGTGGTCTCTCTCTTGTCTTTCTCTGGTCTCTCTCTGGTCTCTCTCTGGTCTTTCTCTGGTCTTTCTCTGGTCTCTCTCTGGTCTATTATTTGCTTATGTGAAACATGAGAGCTGCTGCCATCTGCTGGATCTGTGAAGAACTGAACTGTGTCTATCCTGGATTTGAACAATGTCAGAGAAGAACTCATGTCTCTGTGTCCTCAGTGTCTCTGTCTCTGTGTCCTCAGTGTCTCTGTCTCAGTGTCTCTGTCTCTGTGTCCTCAGTGTCTCTGTCTCTGTGTCCTCAGTGTCTCTGGCTCAGTGTCTCTGTCTCTGTGTCCTCAGGGCAGTGTGTTCAGTGACTGTTTCTTCGGCTGCTGCTGTTACTTTCTCTCTTGGCTCCAGATCTCCAGAGAACTGAAGAGGAGGTCTGCACCAGGCTACACCCACATGGTCTGAGGGGGAGAGAGGAGGGCCCACATGGTCTGAGGGGGAGAGAGGAGGGCCCACATAGTCTGAGGGGGAGAGAGGAGGGCCCACATAGTCTGAGGGGGAGAGAGGAGGGCCCACATGGTCTGAGGGGGAGAGAGGAGGGCCCACATAGTCTGAGGGGGAGAGAGGAGGGCCCACATGGTCTGAGGGGGAGAGAGGAGGGCCCACATGGTCTGAGGGGGAGAGAGGAGGGCCCACATAGTCTGAGGGGGAGAGAGGAGGGCCCACTTGGTCTGAGGGGGAGAGAGACCCCTACAGCAGCCTGCAGGGGGCGCAGCTGGTCTGAAGTGTTCTTGCAATCTCTGAAGCTAAGCAGGGCAGGGCCTGGTCAGTACTGTGATGGGAGACCTCTGGGAACAGCAGGTGCCACAGTGGGGCGGCTGCGGCTGTAAAGTGCAAAACTGTGGTTGTGTCCTTAGGCAATACACTTCTCCCACATTAGAATGAGACAAAACAGTGACAAAACTACAACAGTCAGAATCTTTTTTCACAAAGAGCTACTTTCTAAAATGTCTGGAACACGTTTTTTTTTCCCCTGCAGGTGTTTGTCGTTGGTTTAGATGATCCAGGATCACGTCTTTGGTCAAAACAATGTGAGAAAATTAGAAAGGCTTTGTAGAAAGATCTAGAAAGTTTGTATTCTCACACTTCATGTTCATGTTTTTTCTTTCTTCCATCGTTTCATTTCTTTCACTTGTTTTTGTTTAGTTTTGTGTGTGACCAGATTGTGACTTGATTGAACTTTCACAATAAAAAGATTGATTATCTCCATCTCAGACTTCATGAGACTCATTCTGTTGACACACACACACAGATAGACACACACACACAGGGATAGACACACACACACACACACGCACACACACAGGGATAGACACACACATACATACACACACACACACACACACACACAGATAGACACACACACAAAGAGGAAAGAGAGTAGAACTACATCTGGTCTGTTGTGTGTAGAATGTTGCAGTTGTGTTGCTGCTAATGCTATCAGTGTGTGTCCAGACGTCACCGTCTGACACTGATAAAGATTTAAGGTTAAGAATGTTTCAGTCGATGACATCAGTTTATACACAACATTTATTCATCAAAGACTTTTAACTCAGAACTGAATGAACCTTTTTCAATCTTCACTCTGGATATGGATCTGAATTCAGTCTTTTTGGGGGATTTACAATAGTTTTCAACAATAAACTTTTCTGAGATGACGTGTCTTTGGACGTGTGTCTTATGTTTGGAGGAACAGTGCGCGTCGTGGAGTCTGGCTCTGAACTCGCTTTGCACGACGAGCGAGATCCAAGGATTAGAAAATACCTGCTTCTGACGTCCTCCTCACGGACCAGCGCCTCCACACAAACACCACGGCTATAAAAGTCTCCACGGACTGAGACTGAGACCGAAGCCGAGAGAGGGGTAGCCGGGAGAACCACAAACAAAAAGGTACGGCTGAGTGTGTTTGAGAGAAACTGGCTCTGACTTCGAACATGTAATTATTAAATTATGCTGCTAACATGCTAAAATGCTAACATACTATAACTGCGCTAGAATATACAGGATTTACACTTGTTTCTTTATTATGCTAAAGATAGATTTGATTGTATTTCAGAATAGAGTTCCTCTGTGTGCTTTGACTGAATAAAAAGGGACCCACATCTTTATTTTCCACATTTCCATTTTGATTCTTATATTTTCGCAGGGATCATGTCGGCAAAGATGGCTGACACTCAACCCAAACCTTTCATCAAGACCTCGCTCCCAAACAAGTGGAGCTCAGGGATCTGCGACTGTCTGGAAGACCTGCCCATGTGTAAGACACACAGACATATACACATACACAGACTGAGACACACACACAGACTGAGACACACGCACACACACACACTGAGACTGAGACACACAGACACACACACAAAAAGTTAAGTACCAGCATTAAGGTTAACAGTAAGGTGATGTCACACTGTGGTGATGTCACACTCTCTGCAGGCTGCCTGGCGTGCTGGTGTCTCCCCTGCTTCACTTGTATGATCAGTCGTGAGGCAGAGCAGTGTCTGTGTCTCCCCCTGCTGGACGCCTTCGGGATCATTCCCCCCATGACCACAGCCATGAGGGTCCGGCTGAGGCACCGCTACAACATCCCGGTACTCCCCCATCCTCACCCCCTCATCCCCCATCCTCACCCCCTCTCACTCCCCGATCCTCCTTTTTCACCCAAACGTGTGTGTGTGTCCACAGGGGGACCTGTGTCAGGACTGCCTGTACTCGTGCTGCTGTGGGCCCTGCTCCTGGTGCCAGATGGCCCGAGAGATGAAGACCAGGGGCCAATGATGAGATGAAGACAATACAATACAATACAATACAATACAATACAATTTATTCTTGTATAGCCCTAGGTCACAACAGAAGTAATCTCAGAGGACTTAACAAAACCATTGAAATCACCAACACAGGTCAGAGAATCAACAGTTAAAACACATGAAGAATATAAAGCACACACAGAAGAAAATGTCCATACATGTTGTAGAATGCTAAAGTGTCCTGATCATCACCAATCCTTTCTGTTGGACACTAACTGTCCAACAAGACCCTCCTGCATCGACCCAGGAAAAACCAGGGGCCATTGATGAGATGAAGACCAGGGGCCAATGATGAGATGAATACCAGGGTCCAATGATGAGATGAAGACCAGGGGCCTTTGGTCTTCGTCGGCTCCACACGGTGCAGACCGGAGTGGACTGAGGTTACTGCTTTAGAATGAGAGGAATGTCACCATACAGCCGCAGGCGTGTGTGTGTATCTGTTTGTGTGTGCGTGTATCTATATGTGTGTGTGTATCTATGTGTGCGTGTGTATCTATGTGTGCGTGTGTATCTTTGTATGTGTGTATCTGTGTGTGTGTGTGTATCTATGTATGCGCGTGTATCTATGTGTGGGTGTGTATCTTTGTGTATGTGTGTATCTATGTGTGTGTGTGTGGGTGTATCTATGTGTGTGTGTATCTATGTGTGAGCGTGTATCTATGTGTGTGTGTGTATCTATGTGTGCGCGTGTATCTATCTGTGTGTGTGAGCGTGTATCTATGTGTGCCCGTGTATTTCTGTGTGTATCTATGTGTGTGTCTGTAAACGTTCTTCTGTTTGTGTGATTTAATAAAATGACATTGACCTTTGTTCGGTCGTGGCTCTCGGTGCATTTAAAATATTCTCATTTTATTGTTTTATTTGTGTTTTGCTGAGAGTAGATTCACTTTAACACAAAGACTGAGGACATATTAGTTTCATATTTCCGTATAGCGTTGGCTTTTTACGGGACCCGAGGCAGACGTGTTGCTATGATGGTTGCTAAGGCAAGGTGTTTCCCCCGTTAAAGAAGGCATCTGATTGGTTGATCCTAAAAACCCCAGGATCACAGAGAGAATGTGACACAGACTGTTACTGAGCTAGTGGAGTTTACTATGAAGGGCTGGAGCAAAACTTTGTCCATAAGCACTTCCCTAATGGGCTTCAGAGAGTGGCCAGACTCCACAGACTCTGATGCGGCGAATGCCAAGAGTCTGAGTCATGCTCCTGAAGGCTCCCATCGTCACCAACACAAAGGCAGGAAGGAAGGTCCGCCACGGGCCCTCAGCAGGGACTCAGCAGGGCCCTCAGCAAGGCCTCAGCAGGGTCTGAATGTAGTCGTACAAATCTTAATTAACCCCAGAGTGCCTTGGTTACCAATACGACACGACTTATTGGCTGTTTTTATGGTTTATCCTGATTGTGCATGGGTGCTAGATAAAGATATATTTATCATCATATGTGTTATTAGTGATCCTCCATCTTAGAAAAATCAAAAACAAGACATGTACATTGCGCATTAAAGGGATAACCCAACTTTACAAACCCAAGGACCCAGAAGCTGGAAGCTAATATGCTACGTTGCTAAATGGTGGCAGACTGTTGGCAGTCAATCAGAGCTGCCACCCAACACTGCTCCTCCTGCAGGGGGTGGGTCTGGCAACAAAGTCACGGCTGTGGTCTTTCAGTGGAGGCTTAAAGGACAACTCACCCTCAAATCCACTTTTTTTGCTGATAAACGGTATAAATGAGTGTCCAATAGTGTTGTCTACATATCCTGGTCATAATCTTGTCACTTTGGTGCAAATTAGTTGAAAGTTAAACTTTCTGCCTAAAACCGTCTGTGAGGCGCCATCTGCTGGCGACCTGTATTACTACGATTGAATTTTGAATCTGGCGCCAACACTGGCGCAGCAGCAAGACCTGACGTCTGAAGCAAGACCTGACGTCAGCAGCCCCCCGCCCAGAGCAATGTAAACGGCCCAGTCTCGTTCACGCCCCCTTTAGTCCTCCAGGCTACGCCCATTTAGAGGAAGATTTGAACAGGAAATGTGAGTGACGTAAGCTCCGAGGAGCGGGGGTGAGAACCACTTTAAGTGTCTTGCCCAAACAGCAGACATCAGTGGGAGCAGGTGACGGGTTCAAAGACCAATGCTCGACCAACTGAGCCTCTGTCGCCCCCTACAGTTAAACACAGGAAATGCAATAAAAACACATTGGAGGAAAACTTTGTCCATGTGCACTTCCCTGTTGGGCTTCAGTGAGGTCCACTGGATGTAGTGTAGGGGTCAGTGACATCTTTATCTTATCACTGGTATCAGCTGAAGGGCCAAAGGGACTGTCTTTACGTTTATGAGCAGGACATGTGTTTGTTCTTTAGTGAAATCCATGTAAAGTTCTATCCTCAGTGTGTCCTTCTTCCATCCACAGACAGAGCCTAAAGCAGATGGGACCTGAAAGGGCTCATGTAAAGACCTGAGGCTTCACCTGCTGCTCTGTTTGTTACTAAATCCCTGAGTAAATTATTGATCTTTATTGAAATAGTGCTTTACACAAACCTATTTTTCAGCCAGAAAGAGAGAGAAGTTCCAGGATCACTGATGCTCGATGATGTGGGATCAGAAAGACATGTTTGTGTTTGAAGCCGCTGCAGCTTTAAGAACAAAACAAAATCTTTCTGAGTTTCATCAGTTCCAGCTCGTGATTGTTTAAAGACCAAAGGTGCAAAAAGGTTTGGGAACACAGAGAGACACAAGGCACTATAGGTCAGAATGTAAATGAGAGAGTGAATGGATGGTGTTGATTGGGGGCTTATGGTCCAGTGAGTTTGGCGACTCGCTTCCGTCATCACCATATGTGGAATGATTGGAACAATATCTGAACTCTGAACATTGTAAAGTGCTTTGGGTGACCTTGGTCTGTAAAATGCGCTATATAAATAAACATTACTTACTTACTTACTAATACTAGGCCGAGGTCACATGCACAACCTAAAGCCTGGTTAAAGTGGGCCTAGACCCAGATTGTGGTTAGATCCAGGCTTTAGATCCGGGCTTTAGGTCCGGGTTATAGGTCCGGGTTATAGGTCCGGGCTTTAGATCCGGGCTTTAGGTCCGGGTTATAGGTCCGGGCTTTAGGTTCCGGCATTTACTCCAAGGCGCACACACACAGACAGACACACACATTGGAGAAAGACACATCTCACTTTTTCACATTAACTCTGCTGCAGCTGTGGCCACAGGAGCTGAGTGTAAAGAGGAAGAGAAACGGAACCTTAACTCGGATCCCGTGGTAGTCGCTGTAGTCAGTATTAGCGCCTGGACCGAGCGTTGTACTACACGTGCATTTGGGCACTGTTGAAAAAAATAACCCTGTGTGACCATTTTTATGGTTTCACACTCAGCAATGATCAGACCAGGGTCCTACTCACTTTGGTCGAGGGCCAAAAGAAATACAAGTTTGTTTAAAAAGAAGAAAAAAAAAAATATATATATATATAACAAGGTATTTTTGGCAAATCTAACACTACTTTTATTTGAGTCTGGATATTCTATTCTTGAACAGAGCAAGCAACAGTCCTTTGTGTTGTAAATACCAGAGTTTATTTTTTTTTATCTCTGCAGTGAACTTTGACTTGAGCCCGCCCCCGATGCTTTTTGATTTTATCTTGTCAGTGTGAGATAAAACCTCAACCCTGGAGCCGGAGTTCATTTGAAGCAGAAGAATCCAGAGAAGACAGCAGCTCTCCTCAGATCTGGAAAACATAGCAACAGGTAAGAAGTGAACATTAGCCACGTTTAGACGGAGACGCTGCAAAGCAATTAGCAAATAAAACCCGGGTCCTTACTCAAAGTGCGTCTACACCACGACAGAAAACCATGTAGTTGTTACCTGCGGCCAGAAGGGGGCAGTGGAACTTTACAACATGTTCCCAGCAGTAGAACCACTTCCTCAACAATATCCTCCTCAGGCCAAAGATGGGAAAGAACCAACATCATTCTGTAACAGCAGTAGTGAAAATGGAAACTGAAACTACAGAGACCTGAGAGAGACCATAGAGAGACTAGAGAGAGAGAAGCCAGAGAAAGAGACCAGAGAGAAACTAGAGAGACTAGAGAGAGACTAGAGCGGGAAGGAAACGAGCAGAGTTTGTGGCGGTAAAGTGTGGATTTTGTTGAGATATGCTCTCATTATGATATGATTTGATGTATGCTAAATATTGTTTATGTTAACAAGTTAAACGTCAGTGGCAAAGCTGATCATGTGACTGACTGACTGATTGCTGATGAGCAACACGTGCATCAATAAATATGGTGTGGGTGCGGTGAAACACACCACAATGAGAAAAGACGTGTTGTGTGCTGTGTCTTATGCCAAGTTGGAAGCGCTGGGAAATTGCTAACAAAGTCAGAGAGAGAAAACCGAAGGATTTAAGAAGAAAAAAAGTTCAGGTTCTCTGTCAGCTGAGGTTGAGCTGTTTTAGCTTTCATTGAGTTCTGTGGGGTAAAGCTCTGTGTAGCCCACGTTAATTTAGTCTGGTTTAGTCTGCAGTACCGCGAGAATCCCCCAAGCACATGGTCCAAGTTGTAACCATGGATCTATAATAATAACTGGATAGGGTATTACTAGCTTACAGCTGTCCCACCTATGGCCACAGGGGGCGCCCGTGGTACTGCAGACCAAAATCACCCGGGCTACCCAGAAAAAAGTCCCCAAGAACTCAATGTAAATTAAAACAGCTCGACCTCAGCTGACAAAGAGCCTACAGCTTTCATAAAGGACGGATTTTGTGGGTATTTTAGTGTCCCTTGTCATCTTGTACTTTTTTTCTTCTTAAATCCTTCGGTTTTCTTAAAATCCACACTTTAGTGCCACAAACTCTGCTCCGCCCTAACCCTGCTCTAATCAGCAGCGCTGATTGGTCAACTGTGGGTGAAATACATCAGTTTACTTCAGTCTTACCAAAGTGAGACAAACATGAGGCTCTCAGCTGTAACTAGTCTGTGGATAATTAGCTCAAGTTCCTGTAGCACAAAAACTATTTAGTGACTGAATAAGCTAAAATAAAATAGAAAATGTACTTTGCTTGTAATGAGTTATTGATTTATTGTAGTTTCATGTTTTGAACGACAGAAATACATCAACTATTGAAGGATATTCTCATTTTGACTTTTAAAGGATCTATACCTGTTTCTGCAGGTTTTTATTGGTTTGACTGTTTAGCACCGCCCCCAACTCGCTCACAGGTCTCTCATTTCCCCTACGTTCTCATCCCACGGCGCCATCTAGTTTTATTTGCAATCTGATACGTATGCTAACATTAGCATGAGCGCAACTGCCTGTAAACTGTACAACAATCACTGATGAAATGGTAAAAAAAACACACTGCTAACAAAATATACAACTGAAAGATTACTGCTGGTTTTACGTCCGGATGTAGTCCGAGGCGGTCCCGCAGGTCTCTCCCGAAGACAAGTCTCTCCAGAGGATACGATGTAAGCTAGCTATGTTCACCCGGGCTTGATTTCTACTTTGATAATTTTTTCGCTTTAGTTCCTTCTTCTCTTCCTCACTGTTGTGTCGTTTGGACTGTTTTGCTGTGTCTGCAGTTACAGCCAGAGGAGTATAGCCACTTTCTGCCCCCATGCTGCTGTGTTTAGCAGCGCTGTAGAGGCTAGAGGAGGCAGCCTGTTAGTAACAGCGCCGCGCCTCGTTCTTAGAGGAGATATTAGTTTGTCAAGGGCCCTCCTGTCCCAAACACATAATAATGCATTGGTTTTATACAACGCTTTTCTGGACGCTCAAATACAATTCTCATAATTATTTATGTGACTGAGAGAAACTAATGAAGCTGCTCAAGACTAACCTGGTCTTACCACACCATTGTACTAATTTCATTTCATGCTGAAGTCTGGATTTGCTCCATTGACTCCGTTAACAGGTGACAGGAGTAAACTCCTTTTGCAGATTGAAACCATTGGATCTGAGTTGCTGGCAATTAGCCTAGCTTTAGCATTTAGCCTAGCTTTAGCCATCTCCTTTGCCACTAACGGAGCACGTGGGGAGTAGAGCTACAACACCTTTGCTTCAATTACATTTGCTAAACATTCCTCTTGCTCCGGCTTCAGTTTCTTGATATTTGGATTGAACCAAACAGATTATTTTACTATTGCATTCTCTGACAAACTACAACCAGCAAATTCAGCACAAACTCTTTATGTGACCGACACCAACCAACAACGCCCGCCTCCCCCGCTCTCTGATTGGTCAGAAGAGATTCAACTGAGTCACGTCTATCTCCGCCGTTCTAACTAATGGGCCAAAAAATGTGGTCTACTGGAGCTATCCAAAATGGCCGCCCACAAGAAAATTGTGAAAAAAGGCATCTGCGCATGCGTCAGCCGGCGAGAGCTCCATTCATTTGAACGAGAGACTTAAAAAATTCACAGCAAGTAAACTAGAGTGGTCCAAAAAAATTCACCCCCTCAGCATTGACACACATGTGGAACGGAGCTTTGGGTCCATCCTGTAAAGGTGTTTTTGAGAGGTCTGCCAATGCTATATGTTAGCATTGGCTAATTCTACTTCTGGGTCCACCCCCATCGGCCCGGGGTGGTATTGCAAGCATGTCAGCGCACGTCAAATTGGCCACTTGTGAGCCGGGACCCGCCCCCACTGGTTCTGACCTAATCCTAACCCTGGTCCCGATGTCTGAACTAAAGCACCTACACCTTATGTAAATAGTTCTACTTTAATCAGACTTATGAAAATGCTTCATGGTTGCCGTGCTGACTTAACTAAAAAAATGGTAAAGCTTTTGGTAATGGTAAAATGTTCATGTTTGCAGCACATATTGCCAATTACAGGATATCTTCTGTTTTTCTAGGATGTGGACTCTCGAGCTGGCTGTGGTGGTCCTCTCTCTGCTTCATGTTCCTGGTGCAGACAGCAGCAGGATTCTGGTGCTGCCATTGGACGGCAGTCACTGGATCAATATGAAAATCATCCTGGAAGGACTACACTCCAAAGGCCATGACCTCACAGTTCTCAGATCTCCCACGAGCTGGTACATCCCTGAAAACTCCACCATCTACACCTCCATCAGCATTCGTCTGCTGGAAAACGAGGAGGACGTGGACGTCTACAACAGGATGCTTCTAGAAGTCATTGAATGTCGCAAGAAGTCACCGTTCATTCGCTCTTTCTGCCAACAATATGAGATCACCAAACTTATGGGCATCGGCCATAAGGCTCTCGCTGATTCAGCCGCCATCCTTCTGGAGGATCCTGTGTTCATGAAGAAGATGTTTGACGCTAACTTTGACCTCATGTTGACAGATCCTGCTTTTCCTGTTGGTGTAATTTTGGGAAGTTACCTCAAGTTGCCCATAGTTTTCAACGTTCGCTGGATAAATAGTGGAGAGAGTCATTTTACAATGGCCCCCTCTCTTCCCTCCTTTGTCCCTGTGTCAGGAACAGAACTAAGCGACAGCATGGACTTTACTGAGAGGATAAAGAATGTGTTGTTCTATTTTTACAATCAATTAGAGCTACACCTTATTATCAAACAATCTTATTCTGATGTTATTTCACGTCACTTCCCACCTGGTACAGACTTGTTGTCACTGCAACTATCTGCCGACATATGGTTGGTACGGACTGATTTCATCTTTGAGTTTGCGCGTCCAACAATGCCCAATGTGATCTACATTGGTGGGTTCCAATGCCAGGAACCTTCTCCCCTTCCAGACCATCTGCAAACATTTGTTGAAAGTTCTGGTGATCATGGAGTCATCCTCATGTCCTTAGGAACTTTTGTCTCTGCTTTATCTGTAGAAAACACAGAGGCCATTGCAGCAGCATTTGCCAAACTCCCACAAAAAGTCATATGGAGGTATTTTGGAAAACCACCAACCTCACTGGGCAACAACACTTTACTGGTAAAATGGCTTCCTCAAAATGATCTCCTCGGACATCCTAGAACTCGGGACTTCGTAGCTCATGGAGGAACTAACGGTGTGTATGAAGCCATCTACCACGGGGTTCCTGTTGTAGGGATACCTTTACTTTTTGACCAGTTTGATAACATGATTCGGTTAAAAAAGAGAGGAGCTGCTCGGATTGTTGAGGCCAAATCAATCACCAAAGAGTCCTTCCTGGAAGCAGTGAAGGATGTTATTGAGAATCCAGTTTATAAAGAAAACGTCCAGCTTCTTTCCAGATTGCACCGTGACACTCCGATGTCGCCCATGGACACGGCCTTGTTTTGGATCGAGTATGTCATCAGGAATAAGGGAGCCAAGCACCTCCAGTCGGCGGGTCACAGACTGCCGTGGTATTCCTACTACTGCTTGGATGTGTGTGTGTTTTTCCTTGCCATTTTATATCTTATTATTAAGGGATACCGTCTTAGTAGTTGGGTGTTCCATGTTTTGTTGTAGACTTGTGCGGCTGGAAATAAAAAAATATTTATAAAAAGATTTTGCAGTATTATAAATGTTAAATAATTTGCACTGTATTTTTATAACTTCAATGGGCAAACTAGTTACACTGGACAACCATTTGTTTGAATTCTGTCAATCTTTGTGTGAATTAACTATAGAAAACATTGCGTGTCAAAATGGAACCAGGCATAAAACAGTTCATCTCTGGAATGTCTTACAAAAACAGTTAATGACTAAATCCCCGTCTATTCCGTGTCATCACTGACGTACTCGTGACATTTTCTAAGCTCAGCTTTTTGTACTGGTATAACTTTTTTGAACACATTTAATCTTGTCTTCAAAATAATTTGGCTTCTCTCCCTCATTTCATAATGCCCTCACCCCAGAGTCCTGGAAGCACAGTCCACAGTCAGAGTTGTGTTCCCAGATTAAAAAACCTCATTCAAATCTCTCACATCAACCACTTGGCAAGTACAAATGTCTGAGCCACTACTCTGAACAGGTGTGATACTAAATCTGTTTTATATAGACATTTTGGACACTCAAGATGCTTCACATGTTATTCTTTGACTCCGTACAGAGTGGTGATAAACTACTATTGTAGCCACAACTGCCCTGGGGCACACAGAAGCGAGGCAACCGGTATGCCCTCCCATCACCACCACCAACCACTCACACCAGACTCATTCTATAGTGGGGGAAGTGTCTTGCCCAAGGATACGACCAGTTTGGAAGTTTACAGCCGTCCCACTGTGGCACCTGGTGTTCCTAGAGGTCTCCCATCACAGCACTAACCAGGCCTTGCCCTGCTTAGTTTCAGAGGTCAGTTACAGTATATCTTTGTATTTTAAATTGAATGAGGCTGAAATCTGATACAAAAGGACATAAAGCCAAAATGCAGGACTGAAAAAAATATTTAATAAAAAACATAGTCCAGTGTAAAACATACATATTAAATGAGACGTTGAAATGCCTGACAGAGGTTCTAGATACAGAGGACTGACGAGGCTCCCCCATGGGCTGCCACCTGAACACTGTGCGTACTCTGATGATCCGAGGAGCTACAGTATGTTGTCCCGATCTATATGCACCTGGTTGGGACGAAGCACAGTCCAAAACCCACCTTGGTGTGCCTGTCCTCCTGTGGACCCACCACAGGGATTCATGAAGGTCCGGTGCCGTGGCAGTTGAAGGCGGAGACCTCGACAACCCGGTACACACACACAGCATCTGTCTGTTCGGAACAATCAATTTTATCTTATTATTATAAATCCATTCTCTATCCATAAATCCATTCTCTATCCGTTCACTTAACGCACTACAATAAGAAAAATAAGAAACAAAAAATAAACAGTGTAGGCAGTTTTTAACAGGTGGGTTTTGAGAAGGGATTTGAAGTTCTGTTGTGAGTCACAGTTCCTAATGTGTGGTGGAAGTGAGATCCAGAGAGTGGGGGCAGCTGCAGCAAAGGCTCGGTCCCCCAAGGTTTGGCACTTTTTTCTGATGGGAGTGAGGAAGAGCCTGGGCCCCAGGAGCCTTGTTGACCAAGGCCCAGTCCGAAAGGACTCACCACCTGCAGAGGGTTCCATGCGGTCCGGTGCAGTGGCAGTTGAAGGTGGAGACCTCGACAACCCGGGCCACACACACACAGTATCTGTCAGTTGGGATGTGGAAAGTCACATGACTGGGGGAGGAGCCTGAGCTTGTGGGGAGGTCGACATACACAAGCTAGACACAAACTGTTTATTCACTCTTTCTGCCAACAAACAAGATCCCAGATCATAGCGCTAACCAGGCCTTGCCCTGCTTACTTAGTTTCATAGGTCTGACAGGATCTGGCCTTTGCCTGCAGGTAGGTTCCTCCTGTGGGGGTCCCTTGCAGTGGCAGTTGAAGGCGGAGACCTCGACAACCCGGGCCACACACGCATCTGTCTGTTGGGAACAAATTATTTTCTATCTTATTATTAAGAGTCACCGTCTTAGTAGTTTGGTATTCCATGTTTTTGTCATAGACTTGTACTGCTGGAAATAGAGTGTACGGACATAGAATATATTTTTCTACAATCATTTATACTGTTTTCTTTGCACAGCAAAGGCTCGGCACTTGGTTCTGATGGTAGTGAGGAAGAGCCTGGGCCTCAGGAGCAAGGCCCAGTCCGAAAGGACTCACCACCCGCAGAGGGATTCATGGGGGTCCGGTGCAGTGGCAGTTGAAGGCGGAGACCTCGACAACCCGGGCCACACACGCAGCATCTGTCTGGATGTGGAATGTCACATGACTGGGGAAGAAGCCTGAGCTCTTGGGGAGGTCGATGTTTAAAGACTAAACACTCACCGTTACTTCTCTGTTTCTGCCAACAATACAAGACCAAACTTATGTTTACGGGCCATAAGGCTCTTTCTGATTCAGCTGCCATTCTTCTGGACAATCCTGTGTTCATGAAGATGTTTGATGCTGACCTATATCTTATTATTGAGGGTAACCTTATAGTAGTTGTGTATTCCATGTTTTGTCGTGGACTTGTGCTGCTGGAAATAAAGTGAACAGATATAGAATTGTTTATGGCTTAAATAGTTGTAGTATGTTCTTGTATCTTAAATGTGCAAATGAGTTTCACTGGGCAATTATTTGTGTTTGTTTTATGTACATTTTAGATAAAAATTTTAATAGATACTAGAAACCCCCTTTTTAAATACTTTTCTTGCATGTCAAGTTGGTCACATTGGAAACATTGTTACAATCACGGATCTTTTATCACAATGTTCTCATGCATCTGTTAACTTTGATCAAACTTATGTGCCTTTAAGTTCATTTAAATGTTCTTATTTAGGAGTAGCCTTGTTGTACATTTACAGGTCACTTCTTTATTCAGCTCAAACTGATGCTACACAAGCTCAGGTTTGACTCTGGTTTTAGGGAAACCGTACTCTGTCCCTGTCTCGCTGCAAAACAGTGGTTAAACCTGCTCCAGTAAAAAGACTGTTGTGTATATTTATTTGTCTGTTTTCTGCTTCATAAATCAGGTTGTGACATGAAGGAAAGTGGAGAAAGAGCGATTAAGCAACGTCCCTGTGGAGCCCTGCACCCATTGTCTCAATTCTCATTCATCCACCAAACAATCTCAATTGTGCCAAAGACTTTCCTCCCGGTCCCCGGCCTGGGTTCAGTCTGGGTAAACTGCAAATGCCTCCAGACTGAAACAGGTTTGAAGAGAATATATGCTGTGATGATATATACAGTGTTTTTATGGACGCTCACAGACACTTCACATTTCACTCCATACACTGTGATAAGAAGTGTATGGATAACAGCTGCCACTCCACAGGTTTCAGAAGAAAATAACCCGAAATGCAGGACTGTGATGGTGGAGAAGCTGCCCCCAGTCACATAATGAGGCAACGTGTAAATAATGTGAGCAAACCAAACTATTTAATACAGAAGACAAACATTTAAAATAAATTTGCAGACAGGTTTTGTCTCTGGTCTGTCCTGACTTCTTTCAGGTGTGTCTGCTCCTTGATGAAGTTCAGCTGAGAGCTCTTTAAGACAGTGGCCACAAGGTCGGCCCACAAAACAAAATGGCGGACCAAAGCACACCCTCTTCTACAGGTGTGGTCTACATTATAAACAAAAAATGGTGTCAAAAAAGAGAACGAAGAAACCAACGTTGACAATGACTTATAAAAGCAAATAGCTCAATAATAAGAAACTGTTCCATGACCAATCACCAAATACTCATACTCATTGCATTGATGTTACACAAAAACACACGCTCTGTACTCTGTAGTTTGGTCAGGAACAAACCATGTGTTAATTTCAGCCATGTTTTTAAAGTCTATTGTTTGCTGATAATGGACTTCTGTGAAAACTTTTGCAGGAGCTACTAGAAGTCACGGGGATACCAATAACAGTATTTTTTGCACCATTAGGCACGGACTAGGTTGACCAGATTTTCTAAATGATAAACTGGGAAATTTTATTATTACTAAAAATCAAATATGTGACAAATTCTCACCAGAAACAAAGCAAAAATGTATTGCTGTCAAATGAGGTGATACAGCTTATAAACATTTACTTGTGCCTCCTGAAGAAACTTGTTGGCAATTCAATTGCTTTTTTAAAACAATACAGGTTGGCTTAAATAAAATGTGGCTGCCAAAACAATAAAACAAAGTAAAACATGTAAGCATTGAATTGTTTAGAAACATAAACTTATTGCACAAACAAAACAAGAGCAATAATGCATTAACCTGAACAGTCTTACTGACTAGTATTTCATGCTGGAGTTTATCTTTTTCAAGAGGCAACGGTTTTCACTGATCCTCTCATAGAACTCAGAGCAACTATACTTCGGGTTTACCCGAGTAATGAGCAGTGCTTTCAAAGTGTCCAGCCCCATACGGTTTCTCTCATCAGTCCATGTATTGTTCATGATTGAGAAAATGCGCTCACAGGGGCATTTGTGCCAGGAAGGCACATGGCAAACTGGCAGATAACAAAAATGTTTCTGAATTGAACATGATTGTGTGAAAATTTCTGCCCAGCGTTCATCTGAAGGTGTTGAGGTTGAGGTCCACTGTCTGATCTTTTCCGATGTGTAAGTTTTGACACAAGTGACTTCATAAAACAGCTCTGTTTGGTGGAGACATACTTCAGGGAGCAGTCAACCTCCTTCCACTCTGGTGCATGCTCTAGAAGTGTCCGGGAGAGACACTTCAGCTCAGTGAATGGAGAGCAACCTCCACAAAATCACAGAAATCTCTCAGTTCCTCAGTTCGGACAGTGTATGTGTGGAAGTATCCAAATTCTCCATGTCACAGGGAAGTGTGTCTGCTGCTGATTGCACTGCATTGTGCACAATGTGTGCTGCACATCCTACTCCGATCAAACTGCAGCGGGTGGCTTGATCAAGTTTGTAAAACATGTTGTTTTGTCCTTGTCTAGCCTTTCCTCCAAAATTTGTGTTTGTGTTGTCCGCACAAAAGCCAATCACTTTATCCATCAGATCAAACGCAGACAGGCTACGTTCGACTTCATTAAAAAGGAGGGTGGATGTCTCACCTGGTAGTGACACAAAATCGATGTGAAGTAGCGGATCACAATAGGAAGAAGTTTTACTGCCTGATACCGCGTTCAGACCGGATCATGTGTTGCGTCGGCTTTCAATGCAAAGTCAATGGTGACGCGGGTTCGAATCGGAATGCACGCACGGGCCGCGCTGGGAAGTCGAAGGGGAGGAACGCAGGAGATGAATTTTGCTCAATCTTTCCTTGGGACGTTCGTGCAGCAACCAATCAAAGAGCCGCAAAGTGGTCACAGGGACATTAGGGGTCTGAGCGAGCAGACTGAACATACTGTAAACAACCAAAACAGGAGCTAAACCAGGACTAAACCAGGGTTGCCAATGGGGGACATAGTGCTTGTTAACATGTGAGTTTTCATGCTCCCGTGACTTTATGCAACTGCTTCGAGTGTGTTCGCCGATGCGGAAGTATTGGACTATCTATGCTCGGACTATCAATGCTCGGACTATCTATGCTCGGACTATCAATGCTCGGACTATCAATGCTCGGACTATCAATGCTCGGACTATCAATGCTCGGACTATCAATGCTCGGACTATCAATGCTCGGACTATCAATGCTCGGACTATCAATGCTCGGACTACATATGGAGGTGAAACTAGCAGTAATCTTTCAGTTATATATTTTGTTAGCAGTGCGTTGCTTTTGTACCAATTCATCAGTTTTTGTTGTACAGTTTAAGTTGCTTTAATGTTAGCATATGTATCAGAATCAATTTTTTATTTGCAGGGCGTAGGGGAAATGAGAAGCCTGTGAGCGAGTTGGGGGCGGTGCTAAACATTCAAACCTGCAGAAACGGGTATAGCTTCTTTTAATTAATGCACCTTATAATCAGGTGTGCCTAATGGTGCAAAAAATACGATACAAAATAAACCCTAAACCATTCACTCAAACACCAGACTCATTGTAATGTGGAGGAAGTGTGTTGCCTAAGAAGACTGCCAAAGTTTGGCACTTTGCAGCCGCAGCCGCCCCACTGTGGCACCTGCTGTTCCCACAGGTCTCCCATCACAGCACTACCCACTGCAGAGGCTTGTTTACTTTATGTGTGTACCAATTTTGCAGGTGGGAAAATGTCCTGCGTAATCAAGCATTTTAGCAGAAATCATAATAATTGAAATCTTGGGACTGTTTTATATTTTTATTGCCTTTATAAGGATACCTTTTACCCCCAGTCCCTCCCAAGAGGAGAGATAGCGTCTGATATTTAACACAAAATACATTTATACCAAAAACATTTTTGTTCTTTTAAGAAAAATAATGATAATAAGATAAATACATAAATGAAAATAAATAAGACAGGGGACTGTTTTAAGCTTTAGGCCTAAACGGGACCCGCGTCTAACAGTTAAAGTCTGTGGTGAGAGAAAGGTCCCGGGTCAAACAATCGGGCCCTGGACCTGTCAGCGCAGTCCAGGGCCCCAGAGGGTCTGCAGGGCGGAACGCTCGCTCTCAGGAAGTGGCCTTTAAAACCAAAGACGTGGACTTCCTGCGGAGGAAACTTCACACAAGGAACAATCGAGACTCAGAGTTCCCAGAGAGAAGCTCCAGCCGCAGCAGCAGCAGCAGCAGCAGCAGCAGCAGCAGCAGCAGCAGCAGCAGCAGCAGCAGCAGCAGCAGCAGCTCTGAGACGTGTGGGAGGTGAGTCCATCATATTGTGGATTAAAAATGGTCTTAAAATAATGATTGCATTGGTATTTCATTTTGTAGATTTTGGAATAATTAGAAAGTATGTGGAAAAACATGATTGAATAACGCTCCAATCTTATGGCAAAAGTGTGACATCACATTTGCATCCGATTGAAAGTTATAAGAATTGTCAGTAATTTAGATTTTGAGGAGAAAAAGAAGTAACACATTTGAAAAATGCATTCAGACAGAAGGGCAGGCGATGTGTTTGTCGAAGAAGATTTTTGCGTAGATCAGGAGCCGCCATCTTTTGAGTCTGTTTTTCTCAGGAGCATTCACTCCAATATTAAAGGGTTATACGGTTAAATAAAATAAGACTTTGGAGGAGGTGGTGAGCTACAGGTTGGAGATTAACAAGCAGTATTTACAATCAAGGGTTTGCAAATGTATAAAAAGCAAAGACATTTATTTGTAGATGTTGGTGCAGTTCTACACGGCCATCATCGAGTCCATCCTCACCTCCTCCGTCACCGTGTGGTTCGCTGGAGCCACAGTCAGGGACAAACAGAGACTACAGCGCATTGTGCGCTCTGCAGAGGAAGTGATCGGCCGCAGCCTTCCATCGCTGCAAGATGGAAGCCCAAGCTCGAGGCCGGGCTGGTCGTATCACAGCCGACCCCTCTCACCCTGCACATGGACTATTCCAACCACTCCCCTCAGGCAGGAGGCTGCGGTCCATCAGGACTAGAACCTCCCGCCACAAGAACAGTTTCTTCCCCTGTGCTGTTGGACTCTTGAACACTTCTTAACCTGTCCCCCCTGCCCTTTATAAAGTCACTTTACTGCCCATCATACGTCACTTTACTTCACTGTACTGCTGTCACCTTACATTGTGTGCACCATGTGCACTTGTATATTGTAAATAGTAACTGTAACTCTATTTTAAATTTAAATGTATTCCTTAGAAGTGTTTTTAATTCTTTATTTTTTATTTAGTGTATTTTTATTCAAAGTACTTAAGAAAATATTCATACAGGGCATTAAAATACATAAAAATATTGATTAAAAAGGATAAATTGCCTCAAAACCAATTTTAATGTACTCTGGCCTCCAACCTACTATGGAAATGTCAAATCCACCCATGAATGTTAGAGTAAATGTATCAATGTAGATAAAACTAAACTACGGCTTCAATTAATCCTAACAAAATTGCCTCGAAACACCGAACTTGTATAGAACACGCCTGACTATAAACCACAACGACATTTGAAGAGAAAGTAAATTTTGTCCATAAATATAGCACCTTTTCTTTTTCTTTCAGATGATTCAAAGTCTATGGATTATGGATAACCATCGTACCGTCCCCTCAGCTCCGGCCACACAACCTCTCGCTGAAGACGATGCATACCGACGTGGCCATTGCCTTCTGTCGGGGCTAACCACTCAGCCATAGAATCCAGAAAACAGTCAAAGTTTGAGATAAAACCCAAGAGAATTTATTTGACACCATTATGGGACCATTAACTCATTGACTGATGCCGTTTTGGATGATTTCACTGATTTTCAAGAATGTGATGTGCTATGACAGTGTGAAATATTGAAACCGGATCCTGAAAGACTGGACTGTCTACTTTCAGCAGCAAAAAGAAGGTTGTTTCTAGCAGAAAGAGGGGAGTGTGTGAAAACAGACGCAGAAAAGTGATTTTAGTTTGACTTTAGTGCCTCCTCACACGTCCAGTGTCTTACATGGGAGAGAAAACGGCAAAAACAACTCTTGAGGAAGTGTTTTTGATGTTAAATCAAAAAAGTTTAATGGCACACATCCACAAAGTATTGCTTGAATATTTATCTTAGAACTTGCCATAATTCGGTTGGATTGCACAATAACGGACTAGACTACTCTCCCTTGTTTGTGCGACCCCGGTTTTTACAAACATTTTCAACATCTGGTCCCTCTATGTCTGCCTCCAATGAATTCTTCCAACGCCACCGTTTTCTCCAACATGTCCAACCACAGCTGCAACCTGCCCCTGGACACGGACTGCTTCGGTCTGACCTGTATCTACGGCCTGGTCTTCTGTGTGGGGCTGCCCAGTAACCTGCTGTCGCTGTGGGGACTGTACCATCTGGGCCGGTCGGGCGGGGGGAGCTGCCAGCTGGTCTACATCCTGAACCTGCTGCTGTCGGACCTCCTGCAGCTGCTGACCCTCCCGCTGTGGATCCTGTACCTGAGGGAGGTGCACCGCTGGCCCTACGGACGGCTGGCCTGCGAGCTGGTCGGGTAGGTCCGAGGACGGAGAGAATTATTTCTTCATATTGTTTTACTCCTGACGGACGCCTTTATTTTATTCATTCTTGTATCGCCCTAAATCACAACAGCGGTTATCTCAGACTAATTAAAGCCACTCTATGTAATTTTTACAGTTGCTCCAAATGAAAAAAACATGTTAACCAAAAACAAATGTGAACCTTTTTAGGAATATTTACCTCCACCATGTTTTTGAATTGTTGTTATAGACTTAGGCCCAGTCCCAATACTCGCACTTCCACCCTCGCACCCCTCATTTGTGCGTTCTCAATGATGGGTGCGAGTGCGTAGGGTGTCCCAATTCTCCAAGGAGCTCTTTGGCCACGCCCCCTCTGCTCCCCTGATCCACACTTAGCCGTAGCCTGCATCTAAGCGGACTCTGGTGAAGGATATTTCCCATAATTCTTTGCGGTACACACAAAAATAGTATAATTCTAGTTTTAAAGTGTCCGCTTCATCCGACCCCTTTTCAAACTGTATCCTGTGCCTACTGAGGGGGGATGGAAACTAAGGCCCCGTCCACACGGAGCCGGGTATCTGCTAAACCGTAGATATTTTTTTGCGTTTGCACCTGTCATCCACATGCCAACGCATCATAAACAAATATATAAAAAACCTCCGGGCAAAGTGGAGATTTTTGAAAACTCTGTTCATGCATTTGTAGATGTAGACGTGTAGACAGAGATAACAGGAGTTTTGCGTTTTCGCACGCCACAGTCTGCCCCCAAAACAACAACAAACAAAACGTGCGACCTCTGATCACTGAGGAAGCATGGATATTACTGCCTTAAAAACCGTTCGCTGCTGAGAGCGGTTCACAGCAGCAATCCTCACTCCACATCAAAGAGCAGCAAATAATCACAGGGACTCACACTCGAAAACAACCAAAACAGGAGCTAAACCAGGATTAAACCAGGACTAAACAGGATTAAACCAGGGCTGAGGATGGGGGTCAGTGCTTGTAAACATACGTATGTCTTTACCCTGACTTTCTTCTGTGACTGTAAAAGTGCCGCTACAGAAGCACCGGCGCCAGTATCAAAGCTCCGCCCACTTCTGTGTTTTTCCCCAACACAGGACATCAGAGGACTGAAAACGCAGATGTTCGGTTATGTTTGGATGCAAATTGTTTTATAAACGAAGGGGGGGAAATATTTGGTTTTAAAAATACCCGGCTAAGTCTGGACATGGCCTAAAGCACAGGGTCTAAAAACACACAGGGAGAGACACAAGTGTGATAAATCAGGGAGGGGCAAACAAACAGGAAGTAAAATAATGTATACAATCAAAAATAAAACCAGAAAAAAGAAACACTGTCAACTTGTAAATATTGGATTTTCTTCTGTTGTGATTTAAGGCTATAGAAAAACTCTTAGAAGTTTATTTGTATAGCACATTCCTATACAAGGCGACTCAAAGTGCTGAACAAAACTAGATAGAAAATAGGGATTAAAAGTACATTTAGGAGGATTTTCCCAAATTTTAGGAAAGAACCGCCCCCTCCACTTTTTGAACAAAACTCTCTTATTGGACACACACCAGAATGATTGACAGTTGGGAGGACCAATAGTCTTGCTGAAGTAGAAAATCCTCCTATACACCTTTAACATCATAATTAAAACACAGTACATTGATAAGAGTAAAGATTTTTTTTTTTTAGAAATGACTCTTCTTTTCCGTGTGCAGCTACGTGTTCTACGTGAACGTTTACGCCAGTGTCATGTTCCTGTGTCTGATCGCCCTGGACCGCTGCCTCGCCATCGTGCACCCTCTGATGAGCCGCGGCGTGCGCACGGTGAGGGTGGCGGCGGTGATGGGCGTGGCCGTGTGGAGCCTGACCTTCCTATTCTGTCTGTGCGGCCTGCTGCCCTCGGTGTACGAGCCGCAGCAGCGCCTGTGTCTGGAGCAGTATCCCGTCACCGCTCGCTTTGCTCGCTTCAAGATCGCCACCGTCCTGCTCGGCTTCATGCTGCCCTGCGCCATCCTGGGGTGAGCTCATCATTTAAGTTTAGTTAAAGGAGCCGTATGTAAGATTTTCATGTCCAGTCATCATTAAAGAGCCCTAATCTGTCATCATTAAAGGGCCCTAATCTGTCCCATTAAAGGGCCCTAATCTATCATTGAAGAGCCCTGATCTGTCGTCATTAATGGGCCCTAATCTGTCATCATTAAAGGGCCTTAATCTGTCATCATTAAAGGGCCTTAATCCGTCATCATTAAAGGGCCTTAATCTGTCGTAATTAAATGGCCTTAATCTGTCATCATTAAATGGCCTTAATCCGTCATCATTAAAGGGCCCTAATTTGTCATCATTTAAGTTAAGTTAAAGTATCAATATGTAAGATATTCATGTCCAGTCATCATTAAAGGGTCCTAATCTGTCATAATAATAAACTACTCTTTTCCAATACTTCTTATAACAGTAGTTCAGAGATATTTGAATTTCTAAATTACTTTTCCAGCCCCTAATTCTTGTTATTGGTTTCATTTCACCAATCAGAAAGTTTGTGATCCGGGCACCAGAACTCACTGCGTGTAGCTAATCTCACTGGTAAAGTACCATGTGGCGCAGAACTAAAAAAGGTCTCGTTATGATTCTCATTAACTACAAATCTAGGAATAAAATCAGGATTTCTATCTTTGTGACGCATGCACAAATGATACAGCCTCTGCTCCGAAAGAGACCTGTGCACTTCCTTATTGGACTTCATTGATCTTGTCGGTTATTATCTGTTTACAGTCTGATCCCTCCACACACATGAAGCTCAAGTGATTTCAAAATCATTAGAACTCTGCTCAGATTACTGTGAGTCTGTGGGATTTTCTGTCATGGGTGTCATTTCTATTCAAAATACCTTCGGGGTTTCCATGCAGCACAAGTTTTCCCTTGGGGACAAAGAGGTGCAGTGGCCGCAGTTTATCTTGGGCTGCGTTCATAAATAAAATGTACAGACAAAACAGTCATGCAAAGCACCGCAACATAAGGGGGTTACTGTATGGGAATATGCGAAGGCTACATAAATACCCATTCTTGTGAAAGGTTCGATTAAGACAGGTTAGCATTTCGGGGTCCGGATCCCTACATGATTGCTCTTCAAGACCTGTGAAAAGCAGTTCATACTTTTTATTCCACTCTAATCTATATCATTCAGAAACGGGCCCCATTCTGTGGCGGTCTGCTGCCTCCACTGCCTCTGCAGCATCGCTCCCCCGGTGGTGCCCGCTAGCTCGCGAGCCGAGCCGCTAGCTCTACTAGCGGCGCGAGCCCTATCAGCTCAAATTGATAGGGCTGAGGGCCGCCCTCCTCTCTCTCAACCTCCGGCGAGGACGGTGGAGAGAAGTCCTCCACCTCCTAAGACCGCACAGAAGCTATAGAGCTGGCGTGTGTGATCACTCTCCATCTTTCACACGGCCAATGCTGATGTCAAGTGTCAATCACAGCTTAGACCCGCCCAACCCTCACCCCTCCGCCTGTCTCCTTTAGTCCTCCAGGCTACACCCATTTGGAGGGAGATTTGAAGAGAAAATGTGAGTGACGTAAGGCTCAAGGAGTGGGAGTGAGAAGTTTTTTAAAGTTTAAGAGAGTGCAGGGTCAGACTCAGCAGTGAATAAACACTGGAAGTTTAATATAGACCTGATGAATCCAAAAGTGTTTATTACAGTGATTGTCTTTAGTGAAGGACGAGTTAAAGGGAAGTGGGACGGGGACGGGACCAGGATCAGGACCAGGTGCTAGCTTCACAAAAACATACTATAGATCCACAGCGTTCACAAACAAACATAATAAAGTCACTTGTTGATGTAGATTGTCCAGAGTTTAGTTCACGTGAACGATCTGGAACCAGAGACAAGGACGCTCTGGTTTACAGTTTTTCTCAGTGTCTTTGGTGCATTTCTCAGACTTAAAGTTCTCATAACTATTAGTTCAACCTCCACAACATTGAGTCATGTGTGACATCATTGCAGCAGTTTCTCCTTTGAACAGATTACAAATGCTTTTGTTCATGTATCAGTTACTTTCATACAATTCTCTGCTGTTTTATAACATTATTATTTGCTTCTGTCCTGTCAGTCAGAATGAAACATACTTATCACTTCTGAATAGTCTTTCACTATAAACCAATAGTCCTCATTTCATTGCTTGAGTCATTACATCCAAAACTGTTGAACTAGTTCAAAATCAAAATCTGTCAACCTCATTTCATACATTACTTTATTTATTTATTTCCTGAAAATCTTTCCTAAATTGAATAATTTCTCTCAGGGGAATTTCAGCTTTCAATCATGAAGAGGTGTGTGTTTTATTGTTTACATTTGTCACAGTTCTACCATGATGATATTCTGTATGTTTGGTCTACGTAACTACTGTAAATGACTGTATTTTTGTTGCTCAATGCTTTAGAGCGTATGCCGTAAATACTATGTGAAAGACATACATACACACATACAGTACACACATACACACATACAGTACATACATACATACGATACATACTTTTGTGTCTTGTACTCAGTTACTGTACCTCTCTAAATACAGTCATGTGTAACTTTACTGTAGTTTTTACAGTGTATAGTGCTCACCAAGTGTCACCGAGATCTGACTTTTTCACATTGAAAACACAGAGAGAGTAAACTTTCAGAATGAAGAAGAGGAGGAGGAGGAGGATGAGTGGGAGGAAGAGAGGGAGGGGGAGGAAGAAGAGGAGCAACATAGATATATAGATAGAGATGCATAGATAGACACATACTGCAGATACATAGATAGATAGAGCAGAAGAAACACACCAATCCATATAAACAAAACAAATAAATAGATAATTCTAAAGGTTACTAACAATAATAATAAAATACAGCAGTCCTTCAGGTCACAGCAGCAGAGGTGGAGCTGCCGCTTGGTTCGGACGATTTTCTCTGCTTTGGTCCAACACAAAAAACAAAAACTGTTTCAAGCCGACGTGCTCCGGACATGTATTTGTACGTTGTGTTTCATTTGCAATAACTGATTAAACTGAAAAAGGGATCGGCTGCAGTGTGAATTTGGCAAAAACATGGACCTAAAGTTTGAGCCGAGGGACTACTTTGTGACACCAGACGTCCTGCCACGTTGAGCCTCGTCATGTGATCTCCTATTGTTAACTTGAGATTTTATTATTGTGCCAAATGTTCATGAGGGAATAATGAAGGAGATTACAGAGGAAATGTTGTGGTGTTTTGAAACGCCAATTATAACACGGAGGTTTTACTCACGGCAGCCGTAGATTAGGCTGAGGCTGTAGATCCAGGACTGAGGCTGTAGATCCAGGACTGAGGCTGTAGATCCAAGGACTGAGGCTGTAGACCCAGGACTGAGGCTGTAGACCCAGGACTGAGGCTGTAGATCCAGGACTGAGGCTGTAGACCCAGGACTGAGGCTGTAGACCCAGGGCTGAAGCAAACAGCTGATTGAGAAGCCAACGCTTGCTGCTTTTATCACCAGATTTTATAAGTTTGAATATGAGAGAAAAGTACACGTCGCAAATATGAAAAGAAAAGACTCCCTACCGGCTCTGACAAACAAAGTCATGCTATAGCTAACACACTTAGCCCCAACTGTCTACTCTTATTATTTCCAAAAAGGGCTTTGCTTTGAGATAGAAATGTTCAGAACCATCAGGACTATCGTCTTCATCACTGGTGAAATGCAGTAAAGTCACAGATTTGTGCTTTTAAAACATAATCTGATGAAACGTGAAACAGGAAGTGCCTCTTGTTCACGGAGGCTGCAAGATGGCCGCCGCCGCACCACGGCTAGTTCTGATCAGATTATTCATGTGAAAGACATTTAATAATATTCTATGATCAGACACTGAACAAATAAAATATGAACTCTGAACATTACAGTTGAACCTGACAAATTCTCACACAACAAACAGACATAGTTAATCTATTACTTGTTACATTGTACAAGGATAATGTCTTGACAGAGGCAAGGCAGAGCCTAGCCTCTTTTCTCTGGCCAGAGCCACTTTTCCTGCGTCTTTTCATAAAGTCCTGAGTGTGAGGCTCTTTATTAATCTCTTCACGAGGAATCCTAAAGTATCCATTAAAGGTTTCACGATTCGATTGGTTAGAAAACTTAAAACAACACACGCAAAAGGCATATTCAACACGCTGCTCTAGTGAAACAACGAGCTCGGCGACTAGCTCGGTTTTTCCAATGTGGTTTTACTGCAAATGGCAAATAAATGAATCTGAATCTGAATCACTTTGTTATATACGCATAAGTAATGAGGCAGACGTGACGTCGATTGCAAGCACGCTCTGTATTACAATACAGAGCATTCAGCATATATTCTAGCCACATATGATTTACCAAAATGATAACTTAAGTTACATTCCAATATCAGTCTGTAAAATGTGCTATATAAATAAACATTACTTACTTTTTATGAAAAACCGATGCTGAGACAGAGACAAATAGCTTGCTTGCAATCAACGTCACGTCCGCCTCATTACTTATGCGTATATAACAAAGTGATGGTCGCCGAGCTCGTTGTTTCACTAGAGCAGTGTGTTGAATAAGCCTTTTGCGTGTGTTGTTTTAAGTTTTCTAACCAATCGAATCGTGAAACCTTTAATGGATACTTTAGGATTCCTCGTGAAGAGATTAATAAAGAGCCTCGCACTCAGGACTTTATGAAAAGACGCAGGAAAAGTGTCTCGCTAATATTTCACTTATAGACGCTTTTACATCGAAGGATTGTTTATTTACCCAGCTATGCAGTCACAATGCACAGTTATTACATCCCCATCTATATTTAAATAATTGTCAGGTATGAGTTGGTGTTTTAGATAAACACTGAATGTTTGACCTGAAAAGAACACAGCTCACATGTTGGTGCATCGTCTTGTTGAGAAAACACCAATCGTTACTTACACGGCTCTTTACGATGCAGGATGTGTCTTTCAGGACCTTAACTCTGAGTTTCTTAACCCACAGACAGAAGTTGCAGCATCCATGTTTTTCCAAACCTTCATTTGTTTAGCAGTGCAAAACTAGATAGATTGAGATATCCAGAACTGAACTGGCGGATATTTTTCTAACTCGCAAATCAAATTATACTCCGATAACGCATTAGGATCATACTAGGGTCTATACCGTTACACAATTTGACTTTTTCAATGTATCAATCTTGAGAATTAGAATCTAAAGTGAAGAAAATGACAGTCTAGGATCTTGTCTTTAATTCAGACAGAAGACATGTTTTATTGTGGATGGTAGACGCAGCATAAACAAAGACGTTACAGATTGTAAGTGATATTATACAGCGGAGGAATGGAGACTTATTAGCATAGTAGCAAATATTAGCATTTGCCGCGGTGCCAGTAGCTTCAACCTTGATATTATCAAAACATGTAGTGGAAAAATACTGCCTTGTGCATATTGTTAGAATGATGAGTTAGAACATTCACCACAGTAGCTTCAAAGTGTTGTGAAATATCCAAAAAAGCAAAGAAATACTCGGAAGAAGAGTTGTATTTTCTTCGCATATCAGCAGCAACTTTTGTTGGCCTGTGACCCCTCCATTAACTGGAAGTTGATGCGTCACGTGACTGCAAGCCAAGATTACTTCAAAATACTTACTTCCTCTTTTCACAGTGAGAAAAACACGTCTCATGTGAAAATTTAATCTAACTATAATCCTCCGAAGCTTAGACCTACACATCCTGCTTCATATTTAGCAAAAACTAAATTTCACATGGATATTTAATGTATATATTTATATGATGAATAATGTTTGTAAAAGGTATATATTATAGTGTATGTGCTGGTGTCCCATAACCCTCATGTTGGGAACCACTGGTCTGAGACAAATGGCTTCACTAAGGTTTTTAGCTAATTACTTTGTTTTTCTGGATTGTGCAACACAAATAAACTGGACCTGTTTATATCATGTAATAACTGCACATGTGATTTAGAGCCCTGTTTCTACCACCCCTACTCTACTTTACCCTACTCTACTCTACTCTACCCTACTCTACTTTACCCTACTCTATTCTACTCTACCCTACTCTTCTCTATCCTACTCTACTCTATACTGTACTCTACTTTACCCTACCCTACTCTACTCTACTACCCTGATTGGAAGTTTTTCCTCTGGTCCTGAGTAACCAGTACCAGGTCCTTCTTTAGTCCCTCTTGGTCCTGGTTCGGTCCAGGCCGAGCTGGTACTAAAGTGTTCTAACTGACAGTAGAGTAGAGTAGAGCTGGTGGAAACAGGGCTTTTGTCTCCACCTTCCATTCTCACTTTAGTCCTCTTCCCTTCAGCTACACCTCGGCCCACATCGGCGTCACCCTCCGGCGTTCCCCGTCCATCTCTGCCCATGAGCGGCGGCGGATCGTGGGCGTGCTGGTCGTCATCACCACCAACTTTGTGGTCGTGTTCGGGCCGTACCACCTGGTCGGGGGGTACCGCTTCCTGTCCCTCCTGGTCACCAGCCGGCCCTGCGAGCTGGAGCGGTCCATTTTCCTGGTTTACCGTCTCTGCTACGGCCTGACCAGCCTCAACACACTGCTGGACCCGCTCTTCTACTTCTTCCTTTGTGCAGACGCCAGGATGGAGCTGCAGAGGTCTCTGTCCCGCTGCAGACGGAGCGCCAAACCCGGGTCCAGGGTCCAGCCGGTTTCAAACAACCGTCGACCGGGACCAAGTCTTATTCCATCATAGGACTTCTCTGGGGCTGGACCAAAGCTGGACCAAGGCTGGGCCAAAGCTGGACCAAGGCTGGACTCTGCCCCCAATATTCAAACTGCTGCTTCTGTGGAGGGTTTTAAGTCTCTTCATGCTCTGGCTTTTAATGGTGTGGTGTGGTATGATATGGTATGATTTGGTTTGGTTTGGTATGGTATGGTATGTGTTTTTAATTTTTTTATAGGGACAGTATACAATAAGCATAAGCCAAAAGGACAGATGCATTGTACCAGGTTAGAAGCATTGCTAATCTACAGCTGTAGTCCCTGAGCAGGTTGTTGTAAAACAGTAAAATAAAAGTAGACACATTACCAACATCAGACAGAAATTACAATTTATTCTACCACAAGTTAAATTAAAATAAACCACCACCAGTTGTATGGTTCTTTTGTTTTATTGTTATGTTTATATACATATTTGCACACACGGTATTTCCTATTTGATTTTTAATGATTTTGTTTTATTAAGTATTTTATTTTGCAGCTCTTTGGAAACTGTGTTCATAAAACGTGCTAAATAAATAAAGTGGGTGGGACATTTGGATTTATTATAATCTCAATTAGTGCAAATCCTTTAAATCTTTTGTCCTCGGGGGTTCGCTCAGTGTTTTTCAACCTGTGGGCCGTGGCCTTGGAAATAGTCCACTATCATTCGTTTGGTCAAAATCATGTGAAAAGAAAATAATGTTAGAAAGATGTGCTTGTTTTAGTTTCTATTTGAGACACATGAGAATGACTTTGCGTTGTTATTAAAGGTAGAGATTTGTTGTGATATGATTGTGTTTTTGTGTGTCACGGCTCAGAAAGGTTGGGGACCACAGTAGGGCTGGGCAATAAATCAAATTTAGGCAATTAATCGGCTTTTGAAAAATTTCGTAGTTGTGAAAAATTTGAAAATTGTGAAATTGAATGAAGGATATTTTGAGAGTTCCAGCAGCACATGAATTATACTTCCAATATCAGCACAGTTTGTACAAGACTTTTATAATACGTGTTGGGGGAAACAAATTAAAATAATGAAACTTGAATATTGAGCGGAAAGATAAAAAAATGTGTTCAAGGGCAAAGTCCGTCTTTGGTAACTTGAATGAAAATCAATTTAAAATCGAAATCGTCCGAAGCAGGAAATAAAATCGAGATTTTACTGTTTTGCCATATCACCCAGCCCTAGACCACGGCTCTAACATAGAAGACGCAGTCATGTGACACAAACATGGACATCGGTCGTCCTCCCTGTGGACCAATGGCTCTATGTGTTTCTTTTCAATTGAATTTCTTGTCGTTTTTATTGCCTTTGTGAGTAACAGGACGTCACATACGAGGAAATGGCCTTGGCTCTCGGTGCAAACAAGTTATAAAAGTTAAAATATAATAAGGACTGCATGATAATGAATAAAAAATCAATGTGTGAAAATTTATATACATGAAATGTAATAACAATAATGCATTGGTTTTATCCAGAGCTTTTCAGGACACGCAAAGATGCTTCACATCATTATTCTTTCTCTCCAAACACGGTGGTGATAAACTACTACTGTAGCCACAGCTGCCCTGGGGCACACTGACAGAACCGAGGCAACCAGTCTGTACCATCAGCCCCTCGGACCACCACCAACCACTCACACACACACCAGACTCATTTCTTAAAGTGTCCACTATTTACAAGTGTGCAGAGTGTACTCTAAAGTTTGGACACCCCTGCACAAATACTATTGAAATGTTGCCACCTGCAGGCCATTTGAAGAATTGCACCATTTAAATATAAGCGTAAGAAATATGAGAGCAGATCTGTTTTAGGTTTTTGAGTGAGAGTTCTCTGGAGGCATGTGACCCTCAGCCTGCAAAACATTGTGGGATTGCAACAGTTGCCGATCTGAGATAAACTGGAGCGACCAAAGAAGTGTAATGTAAATGTAAAGTTTGGTTATTTTCTGAGAATGTTTGTATGTTTTATTTGTAGTGACTTTGGAAACTTTTTTTTTTTTTCTTTACATTTATTTAACAAGGAAAAATCCCATTGCAATTAAGAACCTCTTTTTCAAGAGTCCTGGCCAAGAGGATTTGGCCTGGTTTTATTTGTTGTAACTTTGGAAACTTCTCAAAAAAGTTTTTTTCTCAGTTTAACACTTCTCTTTAAGTTCCTCTAAATACAGAACTTACTGCACTAAGCCTGATAATGAGCTGCAGATTTAATGAGGAGGACTTTAAAGGCACTGTTGATTTGTTGTGGACAGAGAAGAAGAATCTGTCGTACAATAAACACATTCTGAGAAAAACTTTAAATTATCTTTTAAATGTATTTATTTTATCTGAGAAACAAACTAAATGTTAGTAAAAAAAAAAAATTATGAGCCCCTCCCTCAGGCCACAATCTGTGCATTTGAGAAAACAGCAAATATATAAAAGGTAGTTTCTAATCTGTGTGGATTAAATCCCTTCACACAACAGTCAGTAATGAAATGGAAGCTCAGACATAGGTTTTATATATATATCAGATATAACATACTAATTACAGACTCAGCCTTACCCTGCTCTCAGAGATGACAATTACAAAGTGGCAAAGAACCAATAAGAAACTGGTTTTATAGTAACGGATACTAAGTCTCAAGATGTAAAAACAAAACACAGGCATTCAAAAAATAATCATATGCAGCATCTCTCTGTCTCTCTATCTGGTCTCTCTCTGTCTCTTGCTCTCTCTCTCTGTCTCTCTATCTGGTCTATCTCTCTTTCTCTCTCTCTCTCTCTCTGGTCTCTCTCTCTCTCTCTGGTCGCTCTCTGTCTCTTGCTCTCTCTATCTGGCCTGTCTCTCTCTTGTCATGGTGTGGATTTTTGTTTTGTTTTGTTTTGGTTTTATTTTGACATTGGTTGTCTGGTTTCATTTCAGTTTTGCTTCATGTCCTGTTTCCCTGTCTTGATTGTCTGCCCCGCCCTGATGTGATTCACCTGTGTCTGTGGGTGTCTATATGTACCCTGTGCTTCTCTCCTCTTGTTGCTGCTTCATTGTCTTGTTCATGTCAAGGTCTGTTCTGTCCTATTCCTTTTATTTTATTAAATCTTTATTTTGGCATTCTGGTGTTTGACATCTCTGGTCTCTCTCTCTCTCTCTCACTGGTCTCTCTCTCTGGTCTCTCTCTCTCTCTCACACACATACAGTTTACAGTCATAAAATGGTCAGACTCAGAGTTGACCGTCTCCAGATTCACTTCTGTTCGATGGAAGCGCCTCGCTCGTCTCTGTGTCTGACTTGTTGTGATTCTTTTTCCTCAGCGCAATCTCGCAGGTGCTGATGGAACTCCTCGCTGTGCTTCTTCGACGCACAAACTCAGCTAAGTCTTCGGCCAGAACGGTCTCCATGACGGCGCTGAGAGAATGCCTGATCTTGGTGCTGAGGTCCGGACAGCTGAACACGTACAACACCGGGTTCAGGACGCTGTTGAGAAATCCCACGGTCGCCGCCGACGGTAACGCTTTGGCCACGAGCTCTTGTGTTGGATGGAACCGCGACATCGACACCTCCAGGACGCTGAGAACATGGTACGGCGCCCAACAGACCACGAAGCTCACCACCACCGCCACGACCAGGCGCACGAAGCGGTAAGAGCGGCGACAACCTCTCTGCGCTAGGCTAATATTCACCGCTACGTAGCTTAGCACAATAACCGCCAACGGAATCACGAACGCGAACATCAACTTGAAGATTGCCAACGCTTTCTCCCGATACTCGCACATCTCCGCCATCTTGGAAGGATGCGAGAGCAAGCGCGCGTAGTGGTAGTAACATTGCGTGTTCCCGTTGCGTTGCGGTATCGCGTCACGGAAAATGTAAAAAGGAGTCGTGCAAAGAGCGGCCAGGAGCCAGATGACTGCGCAGACTCTCAGGACGAGACGTTTGCTGCGGTAGTTTTGAGCCAGAACCGGTTTCAACACGACTAGGCAGCGATCGAGCGAGATGGCGGCGAGCAGGAACCCACTCACGAACATGTTGAGGAAGAAAACGGATGAGTGGATGCGGCAGAAGGTGCGGCCGAGTTCCCACGTCTTCCCGCGAGCGAGAAAGAGCGTGAAGACGGGCAACGAGGCGGTGGCCAGCAGGTCCGAGGTTGCCAGGTTGAGGATCCAGATGCTGATGACGGAGCGGCGTACGCGGAAGCCGACCACGAGGAGGATGAGGAGGTTCTGCACGATGCCCAGGACGGAGAACAGGCCGTGGAGAGAGATGGTGAAGATCCCCAGCGGTGTGAGGCCGGCGGTGGCGTTGGGCTTGAATGTGGAGTTCACCAGGCCCTGGATACGAGGGCAGAACAGAGAGGGGTCCACAGACATGTCCTGACTTCTGGTCTTCTGTAGCCAGCGGAAAGGGGTCTAGAAGAGAGAATATGTCAGAAAGTAATCTGTATTTTATTTATTTTGAGGCGACAGTGGCTGAGTTGGTAGAGCATTTGCCTTTGAGCCTGAAGGTTGTAGGTTCGAGTCAACCACAAGACTTTTCTCCAAGAGACAGTTCTCCTTGGCAAGACACTTAACCTCTGGGAACACCTGAGTGGGGCGGCTGCGGCTGTAAATGCCAAACTGCTGTTGTGTCCTTAGGCAAGACACTTCACCCCCATTGCCTAGAAGGAGTGTGGTGTTTGTGTGAATGGTTGGTGGTGGTGGGAGGGGCTGATGGCACAGACTGGTTGCCTCGCTTCTGTCAGTGTGCCCCAGGGCAGCTCTGGCTACAGTAGTAGTTTATCACCACTGTGTTTGGAGTAAAAGAATAATGATGTGACGCGTTTTTGAGTGTCCATAAAACTGATGCATTATTTATGTAGCTCAGGGGTCTCCAACCTGTAGCTTGGGAGCCACAAGTAGCTCACCCCCCCTTCCAGGTAGCTCACCAAAGCATTTAAAAATGAACTAATCAAATAATGTACTAAATATTTCAGATTGTACTATTCATAATCATTATTTATTATTCAGATTCAGTTTATTTGCCATTTGCAGTAAAACACATTGGAATACATTAGCAAAAAGTCTCCAGTGTGCACAGACAAATACAGACATAACACAACATTATGTAAATGTAAATGCACCGACTTTGTCACTAGTAACATATACTGTATGCAATAAATATGTATAAAATAAGAAAAGATAAATAATGACTGTACCCAATATCAGGCTTGTTCACACTAATATATTGTTGCTTTATTGTTTTCCCAGGGCTTAAAGGAGTAGCTCTCTGCCAGTATGCCCTGGAAAGCAGCTCTCTGGGTGAAAAAAGGATATAGCGCGAGTCACAAAGCACTTTACAATTGTCTTTTGTTTTGCATTTGTCTCTCACTCCACACAAAGATGGAAGTGAGGTCGTCATACAGGAGGCGCATGTCAGACCGTGTTTTTGGTGGTAGGGGAAACCGGAGCACTCGGAGGAAACCTACACAGACACGGGAGAACATGCAAACTCCACTCAGAAAGGCCCTGTTCCAACCGGGATTCGGACCCAGGACCCTCTTTTCCACAGACACCGTCACATCCACAGAACACAGAAAAAGGAAATGACAGCAATGTAATAAAATAAGAACATGCTCAAGAAAGAGAACGACTTAAATTGTATCGCACTAATAGAATAAAACTTGGTGATGTCACATGTCGGTTTTCGCAAATGGATTTTCACATTTGATAAACAGCAAATGCACTCACCCCTCAGGTCTTCGAATCAGCAGACGACAGAACTCAATCATGAAGAGAACAGACGACTTAAGAAAGAGGAAGAGCCAAACCCTAAAAGACTGAAGTGTGAAAATAAGACAGTCCCTCGAGAGTGCAGGGCTTTAAACAGTTTTAAAGTTATCATTAAAGGGCCTTAATCTGTCATCATTAAAGTACCCTAATCTGTCATCATTAAAGGGCCCTAATCTGTCATCATTAAAGGGCCCAAATCTGTCATCATTAAAGGGCCCTAATCTGTCATCATTAAAGGGCCCAAATCTGTCATGGGTCCTCTTCTGTCATCATTAAAGGGCCTTATACTGTCATCATTAAAGGGCCCTAATCTGTCAACATTTTGAACTGCTCTTTTCCAATACTTCTTTAACTGATAACTTTAGTTCAGAGATATTTGAAGTTCTAAATGACTTTTCCAGCCCCTAAATCTTGTTTTTGAATTGTTTTCATTTCAATGTCCCGCCCCCCACCGTCTCACCAATCAGAAAGTCTGTGATCCGGGCGCCAGAACTCACCGCGTGGAGCTAATCTCACTGGTAAAATACCATGTGGCGCAGACCTAAAAAAGGTCTTTTTTATTATTCTCAAATCATTAACGACAAAACAAGGAATAAAACCAGGATTTCTATCTTTCTGAAAAAAGGTGTTGGTTACAGATTTGTTGTTGACAAAACTCTTGGTTCTGTTATGGTCCCAGCTGGATTTATCTGCATATCTGGCAACCTGAGTCAGGGATAGTGGGAGAGGCTGCAGTACCACTTTTGGACATACTGCTACTTTAAAAGAATAGTATTTATGATTTTAAAATGTTGAGGTCTGATTGCTGGGTCTCAGGATGTGTGCAGTGTGTGACCTTTCTGTGGATTCTGTGCCATCTCACATGTGTGTTTTTTTATTTGTACAGCTTTGTGCAAATACAAATAAATACAAGTGTGGTGTGTGTCTGCGTCAATGCAACAAAACGAACTTCAAAAACGACAATAAGGTTTCATTTGTTACCTTTCAGAACCTGTGTGTTGCGTTGCCACAGAGTGTGTATTGTCTGTGGGTCTGCAGACAGGAAGAGGCCTGGTTTGTAAATCATATACGGGAAACAGACACACACAAAAACACGCGCGCGCACACACACACGCACACACACACACACACACACACACACACACACACACACACACACACACACACACACACACACACACACACACACACACACACACACACACACACACACACACACACACACACACACACACACACACACACACACACACACACACACACACACTCATACACATCTGCTCTGCACAGTGTGAAATCATGTGTTTATTTGTATAATTGCTTGTGTGTGTGTATTCTATAACTGTGACAAAGAGTCTTGACCTTATTTAAATGTGGTTTGTGTGTGTTTAGGGGTGAATGTGTGTTGCGTGTATGTGGGCATATGTGTGTGTTTGTGCATGTGTAGGAGTCTGAGTGTGTGTGTTGTTTTAAAATAAATACACTTTTCTCTGGCAAATCTGTGTAGTAAACAGCCGGATTGCAAACATTCTATATATTATTTATTAGTGTTCAATCCAGTCTCTCTGGTCTCTCTCTCTGGTCTCTCTCTGGTCTCTCTCTGGTCTCTCTCTGGTCTCTCTCTCTGGTCTCTCTTTGGTCTCTCTCTGGTCTCTCTCTCTGGTCTCTCACTGGTCTCTCTCTCTAGTCTCTCTCTGGTTTCTCTCTGGTCTCACTGTGGTCTTTCTCTTGTCTCACTGTGGTCTCTCTCTAGTCTCTCCCTGGTTTCTATCTAACAGTTTCCAGAGCAGAAAAGATTGTTTTGTCTTAGTGTCCTATAAAACCATGTGGACTAAGAACTTTAATAACTCATTCACTTGTGGTCAGTATTTTCTACTAAAGACACCATTTCACATTCTCAACAGTCTCTCATTAGAATCAGTATCATTTCAATCGCTGAAATAAAAACATCACATTTCGTCTTTGCAGCTCTTTAAAGGAGGGATGTGAGTCATCAGAGGATCCAGGACGGACCCTGATTGGCCGATCGATCGCCTCGGTTACCAGAAAAGTAGAGAATCTGCCGAGAAGAAGTCAGAGCGTGTCCCTCCATTTCGGCAGAATGTGGTGGCCTACTTTCTCTCTCCTGTGGCTTCTGGGTGAGCTCCACACGTTTATATTACTCTATTTCTCACACTTTTTACTTTTTCATCCACTACGTCTATTTTCGCAGCTTGCCTCCTGAAGACTCCCGCGGCCTCGGCCCACCTGAAAGTTGTAACCGCGGGCGACGACGTGACGTTGGAGTGCTCGTTCGGCTCTGGCAGCGTGGCGGTGATGTTTTACTGGTACAAACAGGTCTTAGGCCAGAAACCTGTGGTGATGTCCCGGTTCTCCAAACACAACAAAGCCAGCGCCTTCCTCGGAGAATTCAAACGCGACCCCAGGCTCTCGCTTAAAAACAAGCTCCACCAGAACCACCTCACTATCTCGGACTCGCGCCAGTCCGACTCGGCCACCTACTTCTGCATCAGCGGATACTCCTACATGTACGAGTTTGAGACCGGCGTGGCGTTGGTGGTGAGAGGCAGAGACTTGTCGGTGGAGACGCAGACGGAGGGCCGAGGGCGAGCAGGAGGCAGCCTGGTCCTGCGGTGTCTGGTGCGGGCCGCGGACTGCGACGGGCGGCGGGAGGTGTACTGGGTGAAGGAGGTGGCGGGTCGGCTCGCTCTGGTCACGTACGCTGGTGATGGCGGGTGTGTGAAGAGTGTGGAAGATTCAAAGACCTGTGTGAGCCTCCTCCGCGTTGGTAACATGAGCTCGGAGCAGACAGGGACGGAGCACACAGGGACGGAGCACACAGGGACGGAGCACACAGGGACGGAGCACACAGGGACGTACCACTGCGCTGTGGCCGCCTGCGGACAGGTCCTGCTCGGGAACGGGACCACTGTGGTATTGGAAGGTACGTTGTTCCCGTTCTATCATGGCACCAGTCCTGTATGTAGTAGTTTAAGATAAGACAAGATAATATACTACTTTATTATATTGGACCGTACGCGCGCTCTGATTGGTTGATTTGCGGTCTGATATTTTCCCATCTCAGACCGTTACCATGACAATTGGTCCGAACAGTGCGTATCACATTTGATATCTTTCCTCGGACCGTTACCATAACAATCTGTCCGCAGCGCGTATCACACAAAACCAAGTTGGACATGAACATACTTCACAAATACCTTGGCCTTTTTGCACAGACCTCGCCACGGCTCGGTCTGTACATTAAGGCCGCGGTCTGATATTTCTCCATACGTTTAGTAAGCCGTTATCATCAAAATCAGATTTTTTTATTTTTTATTGCTGATTAAGAAACAGGAAGTCACAGATCAGGAAATAGCTTTGGCTCTCGGTGCAACAGTCAAAAAAGAGAGGTAAAGAATAGAGTAAGGCATAATAAAAATACACAGAGAAAGAAGGAAATAAGACTCAGACGCACACATCAAACAGATTTTAAGACATACAATAATAAGATAATACAAAGGTAAAATAGAATAAAATATAAATAAAATAAACTCTGGAGCTATAATGTCATTTGGTTCAGGAGTATTTACAGATGTGTTTATGTAAAGTGATGAGTGAATGGCAGATATATCAGATGGATCTGTAATAATGCAGTAATAATAATAATAGTTTTGGTCACACTTTAGTTTAGCCTTCACTGATTAACAGCTAATTAGTGTGTCATTTATGGTTAACAAGCTATTGTTTTGTATTTATTGAGCACTTATTAGTTATTTTTCTTCATGGCTAAAATCAGGGTTAGGTGATTTTATAAGATCACGGCCTCACAACCTCTGGTGACCGGAGGGCCTACATAAGCACAGTTGTTAGATATCTGGAACACCCACATAATGTGGCGTAAGCAATGACATGAATCAGAGAAATGTAACAAAACAAATACTCAACTTTGTGGTTTGTAGAGGAAGGTCTTTATGTACATATAAGATGGACGGGAGTTCAAATTGAAGCGGCACATGCGGTCCGTTCAATCCGAGACTCTCAGAAATATTTACAAATGCTGCTTAATGCAGCTTTGTCGGCCGGGAGGAGTTAAGAAATGTTCTCCGTAATTTCCTTTTTTGGATACACAGTTCAGCTTGCATTGACTTGTCCAGTTGGATGATGTATGTTGTCTGTCTTTCACGGTCTGTCTCCATGCTTCTGTGTCAGCATGGCGATTCGATATTTTTGTGAATACCTCTGTGTCTGTTTTTAGTTCCCTGACCCAACAGTGAACCAACATGTTCAGAAAAAAACATACTTACAATGGCCTTATCCAACATCTAACTGACTAACTGAATTTAGAGTTAGAGTTAGAGTTAGGGTTAATTCTATGGTTGGGGCAAGAGTATAGACGTATATATACTCCTTGACTAGGATACACTAATTAGCTGTTAATTAGTGAGGGCTGATCCAAACCATATTTTCACAATAAATAAGGCAGCACGGTGACGCTTCACAGTAAGAAGGGCTCGGGATCGATTCCACCTCCAGGCCTACCTGTGTGGAGTTTGCATGTTCTCCCCGTGTCCTCAGAGTGCTCTGGTTTCCCTTAGCATGCAAAGCGAAGTCTGAATGTAAATGAGTGGGAGAACATATGGTGTTTGATCGTGGGCTTTGATGGTTCAGTGATGTTTAGATCGCCGTCTTGGCGTCAGTTTGTGGAGAGAATGGAAACATATCGGAACGTCAAAAACATTGTACAGCGCTTTATTTGACCTTCTACGAAAAGCGCTGTATAAATAAGGATGACTTACGGGGCTGTTGCTGATTATTACTATTCTTTTTAGAACGTTACAGTGTGTGTGTCACAGTGTGTGTGTGACAGTGTGTGTGGACAGACCTGGCCCGTGGCAGAGGTCTTATTTGGCAGATGCTAAGGGTGCCATCCACCAGGGGGCGCTAAGCCAATGTCAAAAAAGGGAAAGAAAAAAGGTGTAACTTTAAAGCTTTTTAGACCTGATGGTCCGGGGCCCTGATGGTCCGGGGCCCTGATGGTCTGTGTGTGTTTCTCAGATGTGTCTTTTGTCCTGGAGCTGTATTTTCTCTGTGGATCTTTGGTCGTCGGCCTCATGTTGGTTCTGCTCCTTGGGGTCTCAGCTCTGACCATGATCAGGACCAGAACAACACAGGGACCAGGTGAGGACAGGACCAGAACAACACATGGACCAGGTGAAAACAGGAACATAACAACACATGGACCAGGTGAGAACAGGACAAGAACAACACATGGACCAGGTGAGAACAGGACCAGAAAAACACACACGGACTCAGCACCAGTTTTCCACCAGTTTATCACCAGTTGATGGTCCTCTCTGTTGCTTGTCTCAGGTCTGGGATCGGCCTCTGTCAGATCTGGGGTGAGACTCTTCCTCTTTATTAATGAGGACGTAAACACAATTGTTTACGTCCAAATTCATTTCTGTCTTTTGCTTTGGAAAACGTTGCAGATCCGCGGCCGTAACCACGGCGATGCTGTGCGTCTCAATCAGAGGGATGGCACCTGGAGCGAGTGCGTTTACTCTGAGGTGCACCAGTAGAGGGCGCCACATTGCCCTGACAGCCAGGAGCCATGGACACTTAAACGTTATAATGGTTTTATATTTTAGGAACTCTCTCTGCGCTCTCTCTCTTGTGTCTGTCTGATCTCTCTCTCTCTCTCTGGTCTCTCTCTCTGATCCCTCGCTGTGCTCTCTCTCTGGTCTCTCTTCTGATCCCTCTCTGTGCTCCTCTCTGGTCTCTCTCTGTGCTCTCTCTCTGGTCTCTCTCTCTCTCTGATCCCTCTCTGTGCTCTCTCTCTGGTCTCTCTCTCTCTCTGATCCCTCTCTGTGCTCTCTCTCTGGTCTCTCTCGCTTATCCCTCTCTGTGCTCCCTCTCTGATCACTCTCTCTGGTCACTCTTTCTGGTCTCTCTCTGGTTTCTCTTTTGTCTCTGATGTAAATAATATGACAAAGAAACAAATCAATAAACATTAACACAAAACATGCATCTTCTTTGAGCTTTAGTGAACAGAAATAACAGTTCTTGTAATGCTACTTTAGTACAATGCGATAACGCCCCCAGAGAAGACATGTGTTGCTGGTATATGACTGTTACTGGTACCTTGGCTCACGTCAGTCTCCATAGTCTGCTTCTGGTCGTATTTCTTCAGAAAAGCTTTATTTTAAGAGCTGTGGTCGCTGAGAGGAAGTGTGCAAAGTGCTGCAGACCACTTTGTTCTCTCCAGAGCACACTTGGGCCTGTGGACCACGAACGGCCAAAAACACAGGTCTAAGCGGAGATTTTAGATTTGCTTTTAATTTATATTATTCATAGGAGCAGTATGTAAAAATATGGCTTAAGTGGTACTGTAGCCTCTCACTCAGGTTGGCAGATATGCAGACGAATCCAGTTGAGACCGTAACAGCTGAATAGACAAGAGTTTTGTCAACAACAAATGTGTAACCAACACCTTCTCACAAAGGTAGAAATCCTGGTTTTATTCCTTGTTTTGTCGTTAATGATTTGAGAATCATAACAAGACCTTTTTTAGTTCTGCTCCACATGGTACTTTACCAGTGAGATTAGCTCCATGCGGTGAGTTCTGGCGCCCGGATCACTTTCTGATTGGTGAAACGGTGGAGGGCGGGACATCGAAATGAAGATTTAGGGGTTGGAAAAGTCATTTAGAAATTCAAATATCTCTGAACTACTGTTATCAGTTAAAGAAGTATTGGAAAAGAGCAGTTTATTATTATGACAGATTAGAGCCCTTTAATGATGTCTTGACATGAAAATCTTACATATTGCTACATTAATTTGCTATAGAGTCATTGTTCCCTCTCCCTCTTCGCTTTTTAAACAAAACACTCTGCTCTTATTGGACGAACACACGTATCACCAGAATGATTGACAGTTGGGAGGACCAACAGTCTTGATGACTATTCAAGATCATGTGTTCAATTCTAAATCCTTTGGGGAGCTATCTGAAAGGGGCCAACCTGTGGCTGGCGAGCTACCAGTAGCAATTAAAAACCCATATTTCAAACACACATTTTACAAAAGCAGCTGACCCCAAACTCATCGATTCTCACACAACTGGTTTGTTGGAAAATATCGCTTTAGTTCGTGTTTAAAGCCAGTCTAGTCCGGGTTCTTAGACTTAGAAAGTTCTGTTAGGGCCAGATGTAACTAAGTAATGTTCTTTCATATTGCGCCTTTCACAGACCAGAGTCACAAAGCACTTACAATTGTTTGGTGTTTTTCCTGGGCATTTGTCTCTCTCTCCACAGAGATGGGAGCGAGGTCGCCTACAGACGGCACATGCCAGACACATAGTACATGTTTTTAGTGGTAGGGCAAACCGGAGCGCCCGGAGGCATCCTACGTAGACACAGGGAGAACATGCAAACTCCACTCAGAAAGGCCCCGTTCCGATCAGGATTCAAACCCAGGACCCTTCAGCCGCCGTGCCGCCCATGTGTGATGTGATGTGAGCCTTCAACGTAATACAAAAGCTGTTGTTTGTTGTGGTCTTTCAGGAAAACCACCCACTGTTCCACACAAGTTCTTTATCTTGACTCGATGCTGAAACTGACGACATCATTTTTCTTGATCCGTAACCGATGACATCACAGGTGAACGCTGGAGTAAACACATTCTGTCTGAACCATGACTCTCTGTCGTCTGGAGGAAGACTGAACGTTCAGAGCAGCGTAGTGAAGAGAGTCCTCGTCCTGCTCCGGACCCTGAGGAGACAAACACGTCACTGACCACTAATGACTTTGAGAATGTTGTTTAAAGAGCGACTTAAAGATGCTATACCCGATTTATTTTCTAATGAGTTCATAAAAATGCTTATTACTACATACAAGTTGTATTATAGTCCGTAATTTAATTGAAAACTTGAGCTCATTGATTCAGCTTGTGTGTGAATTCAATCACAGAACAAGGAGCGTCCTCTAGCCTCTACAGGCTGGTAAACACCAGGGCTTCGACTTCGAAATTCCAATATAATTCTAAAATTTAAAAATATATATATTCGAACAAATATTAGATAGCCCTTATAATTCAAAATGTATTTAATGACCGCAAATCAAATAGTTAGCTCACCGTGTTTCACGGTGAAACCGTGATGTGCTAGGCAGGAAACAGCTAAGCTAGCTAGCTCAAAAACTCTCTGGAACTACATGAAAACTGAAAAAAGAATTCTGAACATCAGCGGTGAGTTACCCATTTATATACCAAACATAAATCCATAATCAGATCCTCTTCAAATGTGTCCTAAAATGTTTGTTTCATGTAAATGGTTAGGTTTATTGCCATCGCTTTTTGTCACATTAAAACAGTATTTTTGTCATGAAAACTTTAACAAAAAAATATGTAAACCTCCGTGCACGTGTGTTAAGGATGTAAATGCATAATGTATTCCCGATTAACATTTAAAGGTGTTGAATGATTGATAGGTATTTGTTTATTGAGCGTGGCTAGCTCGGCTAGGTCCGCTAGCTTCTCTGCACAGACAGAATTAGTTAGTGATAGGCGCTGAAAGCTCGTTGTACTTGCGGAGTAATGTTATTATTTTACACACCTGAATTACAAACAGATTGCGTTGCCAAAGGACAGCGGTCATTATTGGTTTGAGAGTTCTGTTATCAAGAAAAAATGATCGCCTTTGAGCCAGAAGGTCAAAGGCAGAATCTTGTGGTGGGTCGAGTCCACCACAACTTCATCCACAAACTTCATCCACAAGCACTTCCCTATTGGGGTTCATTTAGCTTGTGGGTTAGCGTTGTCCCTCTATATACAGACATTTATGGTTTGCAGAAAAGTCAGAAAATACATACATAGTGTACAGTATATGTATAAAGGAGGATTTTCCCAAATTTTAAGAAAGAACCGCCCTCTCCACTTTTTAAACAAAACTGCTCTTAACGGTCAAATAAGTGTCGTGATGATCCACCCGGAAGTAGAAAATCCTCCTATATACCTTTAATTCATAACTAAAACATGCTTAGATGGGAGTGGGGAAATATGAAGACTCACCTCTGTATTATTCACAGACGATGTTCTGGAATTGAATATGAGCTCTGAAACGTCAAGTCGATTACAAATCAATGGTCAAATAGAATTAGTACATCATTTATACAAATATCTAATTAATAAACTAAAGATTGGACTAAATATGAAACACAATATTTTTTCTCACTGCGTGCAGTCTGTTAAATCTAGAATATTCTTATTTAGTTTCATGGTTGCAGTTCTGATCAGTGCTCTCCTTGTTTGGCTTTAGGGACGGCTGTGTCTTGGTAGATTTGCAGTGGTGCCGTACTCTTTCCTTCACCTCATGATGGATTAAACACTGCTTTAAACTTCTCCATAAGCTATATTTTCAAATGACATAGTAATTCTTTTGCATGTAATCTTCTGACTTATTAAACTGTTACAAATGACTAACAATGTTGTGACAGAAAGATTAAAATGAAGACAGAAAGGATTTTCTCACTGACTAGACATTGTTTTACCTCAGACAGTGAGTGAAAGAATCATAAAAGTTCATACAGTTTAGGTAAGACCCGGAAAGTCCACAAACCTGCAGAGAGGACGCTGTACCTGTGCTTCAGCCTGAAGACGGCTACAGTCAGAACCAGACCCAGGACCAAGGACAGACCCAAAGCTCCACTCAGGATGTAGAGGATGGGGTCCACTCCGTCTACACAGAGTTAGATTTTACAACGGAAAGTCATTTTTTCATGAATACATTTACAGCAGAAAGTGTGAAAGCTGATCCCTACGACAAACTATAACCACAGACTTCGGGTTTTCTTTTCAAACCTGTGAGAAAGAATCTGTGGCAGGATATCACACTTTGAGATGAGAGCGGTTTGAATCCTGTCCATCCTGTTTCTATTTTCAGTCTCATTTTGCTCAAAGGAAAATAGTGACAATTTGATGCAATAACATGGCAACCAAAGACCAGTTAAAACTAGATTCATGGTAAATTTGAAGGATGAGGCGGGCCACGACCACGTAATCAGAACTACTTCCTGTCATCACCCACTCTCCAGGAGGAAATGGTTTACGACTAAAGACAGATGGTAAATTTTTGACAGAAATGTGTATGCATTTTCAGTCACATCTTACTCAGATCAACTATAATCTTACATGAATTTGTGTAGGGATTATAATTCCCATTACACTCAATACATAGAGGTCCCGTCTGACCACCACCAGATGCTTTTGATTATTCCAAGCCTATCTTTTCTACACACGTACACATGACTAGCTCTAAAACACAACAGAACAAAACTAAAATCCGGACTTTGGCTCCATACCAGCTTCAAAACTTTGCTGTTTGAATGTGAAATACGTTTTTTTTTTTCTGCCATCTCTCACTTAAATGTTTTTGCAAAGTCTGTTATTTATTACATTACATTGTATCTCACCTCTGACCCTGACCTCGGTCCCGTTCCCGAACAGGACTTGTCCACAGGCGGCCACAGCGCAGTAGTACGTCCCAGTTTGCTCTGAGCTCACGTTATGAATGTGGAGGTTGTAGAAGCAGGAGTTTGTTGGACTGTCCGTGCTTTTCTCGCACTGATCACTACTATTCCCACGACTGTAGAGAACTCCTGCTGTGGATTCTTCAGACTTTTTGAACCAGTGAACGCTGTGTGCTCCATTACAGCTCCCAGTCTGGACGCTACAGTTTAAACTCACAGATTCTCCTCGATCTATGTCCTCATTTTCTGACTGCTGGATCTTAAAAGTCAGGTTTTGTCTCATCACAACAACATTAAAGGTTTCAGTGATATTCAGATTGTTTAGGTAAAATTTCACACAAAGATAAATCCCTGAATCAGACGTTTGGACATGTGTAATATGGAGGTCATTATTCCCGTGTTGAGTTCCCAGTGAGAATCGTCGGCTGGTGTTGAATTCTCCAAACAAAGTTGGGTTGGGCTGATATCTGCGCAAAGATGAAACACAAACTGTCTTTCTGCCTAAACTTTGCTTGTACCAATAATACATTCCAAAGTCTTTGTCATCTTTGTTGAAACAGGGCAGAGTGATGTTGCCTCCAGGAGCAGCGAAGAGGAAATGGTTTGTTTCATGAAGATTCACTGAAATTAAAGGCCACAACAAAGTCTGATTTGAACTCATTTCAACAGATGATGATGTTCATAATTCTAAAGTAACTCACCGTTAGTGGCCAACACTAGACTGAAGACCAACACGAGACTGAAGACCAGCAGAACTCTGAACGGTCGTCCCATGTTGAGATGCAGGTGCAGACTGGAAATGGTTGATCCCGCCTCTGCTCTTTACAGCCAAGCTCGCATCTGATTGGCCGACAAGATGGCAGGGGATTGTGATTGGCTGCCTGATCTGAGTATGGTGTTATAAATGTGTGTCACGCACAACAAAGAAATGGCTGCATCCAATTGTTATTTTTACGGTTCCTGTGATTTAACCGTTTGATTCTCTGATCTGTTGTTGGTGAATTGACAACTTTGTGAAATCCTCCCAAACGACTGCTGCTGTGAATGAAGGCGATACACAAAAACATTGACACACACACATTTTCAGTAGTAAAGATAATGATGGGTCCATGGCCACAGACTTTAGTGTGTGTGTGTGACAAAAGAGAGAAAGTGAGTGTGTGTGTGTGTGAGCGAGAGAGAGAGAGATTGTGTGTTTGTGTGTGTCTGTGAGAGAGAGAGAGAGGACGTGGGTGGGAGCTGCATCAGGTGAGGATGTGGTGTGTGTTTTGTGTGTGTGTGTGTTTTGTGTGTGTGTGTGTTTTGTGTGTGTGTGTGCTTTGTGTGTGTCTCATACCCTGTAGCAGAGTGTTGTATATTACTGAATGTTCTGCACCGTGTCACAAATGTATTCTTTATGTTAAAGCTACTATCGGTCCTCCCAACTGTCAATCATTCTGGCATAAGAACTTTTTTCTTATTGGACGTTTAAACTGTAGGTTTATGTGACCGTTCTATGGACTCCTTGTTTCAACTCATTTAACTGTGATACTGTGAATAAAGACACAGTTCTTGTTGGAAACGTAGTTATTATTAAAGTGTATTCAGCACAAACAGCAAAACAATAAAAGTCGTATTTATCTGAGACAAATATGAACTATTCACAAGTACAGGAGGAATGCAACTGACGCGATAAGCTACGATTCAAACAAGACAGGAACAGAGCAAAAGAAACGACTGCACAGTTTATAAGTTATATATAAGTTAGATATGCAACAGAACTCTAGTCCACAGTCTCCGCGTGTATCAGGCTCTGCCATGAGCTCAAACTGCTTTTCCTTTGGTTCCTGTGAAGCGCGAAGCAGTCTGCTCCGAAGTGCCTCGTCCATGCTCCTGCAGCCGTTCCGAGCTTCCTTCCAATACACACACTCGGACCAATCACAGCGGAGCTTGTGTGCGGCGACCCTTACGTAGTTAGAAATTTTTGAGGGTGCGCGGCAGGCAACGTAAGGGCTTTGCGGTGATCCATGCGTTGCGCAAGTGACGTCATGTCACCACCGTAAGGTCCGTGCCGCATTACTATACACTAGGCTTGACAGTCTAAGGAGTTTAGCCTTCCCTGAGTCTTACCTTCCTAGCCATATGCTAAAGAGGACTGTTTTAGTTTAGACTGGAACGTAGGGTTGAAGATGCAGTGGACCGGGCCCAACATACGCAGACTCCAAGACCGGACGAAACCTGACCGGACAACAACCTAACCAAAGTTGAAAAAGAGTGTTTTAAGCCTGGCCTTAAATGTAGAGACAGTGTCTGCTTCCTTAACGTGCGTGGGAAGCTGATTCCACTGTAAAGGAGCTTGGTAGTTAAATGCTCTGCATTTTAGACACTAACGTGTCTTGGAGATAAGAAGGAGCCAAGCCATTTATGGCTTTATATGTTAAGAGTAGGATTTTAAACTTTATTCTGTACTCCACAGGGAGCCAGTGGAGTGATTTTAACACCGGAGTTATGTGCTCCCTCCTTTTGGTACCTGTTAAGATCCTAGCTGCTGTATTCTGAACGAGCTGGAAGCTCTTCAAAGAAGTTTTAGGGCACGCTGCCAGCAAAGCGTTACAGTAGTCAAGCCTAGCACAGTCACAAGGAAACTCAAAAAAACAATCAAACAAAGCAACAAGATAAAAAAATAATAATAATCACAGCACATTCCAAATAGAATTGTTGTGGAATTTCTAAGGAGTGAAATACACAATATTAAATACAAAATAAAACAACAAGAGCTGTAATTCAAATCAAAGTGTGGTTTATTATCTCAGTAAATGTATACATATACAGGAAATACAACCGTGTAACCGCGTGGCAGGTCCCGGGTAGATCTGCTGAATAGTGCTCATTCTCTCTCATATTTATAGGATAGAACAAACAGAAGAGTCTATCTATGGTGTCTCTGAGTCCGAGATTAAGTGGTAGCCGTAGCCCAAACCCCCCTCTCTTCCGACGTCTTACTCTGATAGACTCTGATATTACTCTGATATTAGGAAGAATGGTCAGTCTGACCGGTGACCACGCTCCTCTTGCCCCAGATATCAAGCTAGTATCTGCCTCCACCCCGTCATTGGCCTCGCGTCTCTACAGAACAACAGTTTAGTTAGTTTGAACAGATTCAAAGCTAGTCAGCTTTGAACTTTGTCCCAGATATCCTAATTCATCATTAGATTCATTCTTAAGTTAAATTGATTTATAATACCAGTTAGATTTCTATAACAGCATCATAAATCTGAAACGCTGCCTCCTCATGTTTAGTCCTGACTCTGGGACCAGCAGGAGGCCAGTCCCTGTGCTCCTCAGAGTCCCATCAGGAGACCAGCCCCTGTGCTCCTCAGAGCCCCAGCAGGAGGCCAGTCCCTCAGAGTTGGTCCCTATGGCACTAATATGTAAGGTTTATACCATTATGATCCTCTGTGAAGGAGCGCCCTCTTGTGGTCAGCCTTCGGGAACATTGTAAGTGGCTCCTTTTCAGGAATAAAAAAGAACTTGCAGCTGATGGCATTTTATTATGGACCATGGTTTGTTATACCTCATTTCAAACCTAATTCTCTCAATAAAACAGCCTTGTTTCATAATATATTATATATTTATAATATCATCTTGAATTTGAAGTGACCCTTCAGCTGAGACAGATTGACTCATACCCTTTAAGGATCACCTAATTTCGCCTGCTCCTTCTTGAATTATGATACCCAAATGGAAATGCTTGTTGTGTAGACATCTTGTGTCTGATTTTGTGTTATGAGGCCTCATTTGAAAGGTAACACCTTCTAGTTTCTGGAAATGTATGTTACAGTTTGTTAGGAAGGACCCAATCTGCACTACACCTTCTCAAACATGAGTCAAAGTTAGTTTTTTTTGTCTCGAAAAAAAAAGGCAATTTCAAAATAATCTCCTGAAAACATACTTTATGGTATGTTGTTCAAACTCACCAGAGCAGATGTCTGTGGTGTTGACAACAACTGTATGAAATTTTAGACCTTTAGGTGAAACAATTTTGATGCTGGGGGCTTTTTTGTGACTAATGGGCACATTCGGCACAAGTGGTCCATTTTTGTGCCAATTGTGCCAAAGTGTTTTATATGCAAATTATCAACGTTATTGCACCAAAAATCAAATTATATCATTTTTTGGCTATTACTCTTGCTATAAATAGGATTTTTTCCAGATATTGAAATGTTTGCAGAAAACCTATTATTTATATAGATATAGCGCGTGTTCTCTGTGAAAATGCTCCGCCTTCCTCTCTTACGCATTCAAATAACACTCGAACAGTGGGAGGAACCTTGAAGTCCGACACATCGCCTGAAACCTGAGATTATTGGCTACAAGATGGTTTGATTGACATCCAAATCGGCCAATGGTAGGCAAGACAATGCTGTCGTGACGCACAGACATCTATATGACTGGAGCGGTAAAGTTAGGTGCGCTTGTTTTAGTCAACTTGATCAACCTCCCAAACCATAGCACTGAAAAGTTGGGGAATGGGCTTGTTTTGAAGGGAAGACTGAGAGGAAGACGAACATACCCAGTGACGCTAGGTAAATAGTAACATGCCTACTTCATACAGTGCGCAAAGGACAGGTTTTATTTTCGTTTGTGCAACTTTCAATACTCAAATGTGTTGTTACAAGTGGATATCTACTATAAGGATGACTTTGTAGAAAAAACAACTGGATAAAATCATTCTATGAACCCTCACGAACAAAACGAATGCACACATGTGTGGATTAGACGTGATTTGCCCCAGAATATTAGCGTGAAAAGGTAAGAAGGGACGATATATATTTTATATATATATACAGTTTGACTCCTTTTTCATACTTTTGGTGACATTTAATGTTTATTTTAACATAATACGCGTTTAGAGGTGGGAATAAGCTTTCAAAAGAGATATAGCTTGACTATATTGACACAAGTGAATTCTACTACTGATGCTGTTAAATGAAAAATATCTAAATCCTCCCTGTACAGGGAGGGTGATCCTTAAAAGGTTAAGTGATGAAAAACATAAAAATTGTATGAAATGGGAGTTTGAGACCTCCGATGCTAAGCAGGGCAGGACCTGGTTAGTGCTGTGATGGGAGACCTGGGAACACAGTGAGGCGGCTGCAGCTGTTAAGTTCAAACTGTGGCTGTGTCCTTAGGCAAGACACTTCCCCCACATTGGCGTGAGTCTGGTGAGTGTGTGAATGGTTGGTGGTGGTGGGAGGGGCCGATGGCACATACTGGTTGCCTCGCTTCTGTCAGTGTGCCCCAGGGAAGCTGTGGCTACTGTATTAGTTTATCACAGTGTTTGGAGTGAATGAATAATGATGTGAAGAGACTTTCAGAGTCCAGAAAAGCGCTGAAAAAAAACAATGCATTATTATCATTTTGGTGTGTAACAAGTAATCCAATTTTTGACTTTGTAGTGGAACATAGTTTTAGATCAAAAGGAGAAATGTAAAATACAGAAGGTCTATGTCCTCACTCAGACACACTGTATTGGAGGTTTCAGATTGAGACAAGTTTGGAGTCACCGTGAAGAGATGAAAGATTGAACAGACCCCTCCAACATGTGGAGGAAGGTGCTGAGGTCAGATTTAAACCTCATTTTAACTTTTAGACCCAAATTTAAGATGTCATGTTTGTCTATGAATGAACATCTCAGAACGACACACCTCTGTGTGAGTCTGCGTCACATTTGTAAATATATCCATTGTCTTCTGTCCATCTGTAGCTCGCCATGGAAACAGCTCAGGATTATC